AACGTCTCATTTTCCTTTCTCGCGATATTTTAGATTTCTGTTCTTTCCCTACTTCGTACGGACATACCTTTTGCTTTTCTTTTTTTCTCGACAAATGTTTATGATTTTGTTCCTATAAATATTCAAGATTAATTAAAAAATAAAATATTAATTATTTTATTATATATTTATTATATATTTAAATAAAATGATTGAACTATTCAACGGATTGAATATTTTATATCAATAGGATAATTTTATCTTTTAAAAAAATAAAAATTTATTTTTAATTTATAATATTAAATTTATATATTTTATTATTATTAAAAATTATATTAATAATTTAAATTAAATAAATTTTAAAATAAAATAATTTTGATCAATAAATAAATTATATTATTTTAATTTTTATATATATCATATAAAAAATAAGATAATATTATTTAATATAATCTTAATTATAATTTTATTTTATTTTATTTTATTTTAATTTTATATATCAAATATGATTTAAATTTATATAATATTATATATTTTCGCCAAATAATCATTATTGCTTAAAAATATTAATTCTATCTTTAACCAATTATTAGCGGTTTATTAATTGAGTTCTATGTCACTGCGATGATACTAAATTATGCATAGTAATACCGTAATCTTTCGGATTAGATTAACAATGATTAATAATAGTTAAATATAACGTAGTTTTAAATTATATGTATTCCAAATAATCGTGAGATTTTGGAGTTTTTTATTTTATGTGTTTCACACGCGACCCTTGCATTTGCAATGACATCAGTGTTGCTACACCACAGCTTACGCCAGCTGTACGCTAACACAGTTTTCTGCTTTCTTTTCAACCTAGTTTAATGCATCATAAAATAATCTCATCTTACCTATTAACCTAAGTAATAATACTAATAGTATAAGCTCTCCAACTCTATTTATTTATTTTCCTTAAAAGGCCCAAAATTTTTAAGCAGTTTGAGAGAAATTTCTTCAACCGACACTCAACCTGTTGTGAACGTAGTACTTGTTTCGCCGTTCACAAAGAGACGGAACAAATATACAGTCATACTTCTTTAAATACTTGAATCATATATAATATTATATTATAATATATAAAAATATTTTATAAGATTTACTCGTATAATTTATTTTTATGACACATAAAATAATTTTAAATATATGATCAAATAAATATTTTTACATGATCACTTATATTTACAATCTATGCATAAGATAATTTTTTAATTTTATTTACTTATCAAAAAATTTTAAAAATAAAGTTTATCCAATATTTCAATTTTATATAAACTTTAACTTAATTTAAATCACAAAAAATCTCAACTAAACCTTATCATCAATATATATTAAATCCAAAATTCAAATGCTAACTTTTTAATATCAAATATTTTTTGATTAAATCATTATAATTTTACTAACTTTTGTACCTTTTTCTATGTATATTACTTTAAATATTTGAATTAATTACATGTGAAGCATAAAAATTAAATATAATTTAGATATATTTCTTTTAAAATAAAAATTTTCAATAATATACATATATCTCTTTTAAATTTGAACTTTTCAATATTTTCATAAATTTTCTCATAATCTTTTAATATTTGATATTTTTAAAAATTCAAAAAAATTAAAATCACTTATTATATCCTTTATACTTTCAAAATCTTTTAATATTTTTTCGATTGAATTTGCATTTATTATAAATTAAATATGAAGTATGTATTTTCATATCTAATAATCCTACAAGTCTATTATTTTTATTTAAATTATTTTTAACTCAAATTTCTTAATTTTTTTCAATGATTTGATTAATATTATAATTAAGTTAAGGTATGTCGATTCTATTTTAAGCTAATTTTATTTTCTAACACTATTGTTTATTTTTAACTTTTTTTTTATTTGCTTCACATTTTTTAATTAATTTAATTATTTTTTTATCAATATCATAGTTTTCAAACACTAAAACAATTTTTCGATATATATTTTTTATGTCAAAAAAAAATCATTGAATAAATAAATTGGTTTTATATAATTTATAGATAATATATATGCATTTCATTCGTTAGATTTTTAATATTATGTGTTGAGTTTAACTTTGTAAAACCCTGCTGTATGTGAAGATTCTACTTAGGTGCCAAATAATTGGTTAGTCATTAATCTTACTACTTATTTTTTGGACATATAAAATTTCTTGATAATGATTTTTAACATGTAAGGTTCTTTTTATTATAATGTTTCGTTGAATGAAAAATGGAAAACAAAAATAGAATAAAGAGAATAATAATTATTATATATTATTGTTACTATATTAAAATTTTTAAATATTTATTTTTTTAATTTTTATATTAACATATTTTTTCTTAAGTAAAAAAAGGTGATAACATGAATTGTACATATGAATATTAAGCTACAAAATATTATTTTTTGTGAAGGTAATGATAGTAATTTTGCTTAATCAATAAATATTTTCAATTCAAGAATTTCTAGATTATTTTTATTATTTTGTAACTTTAATAGGTTTTTATAAGTTTTTGTAATTTAAGTAGGTCTCTTGCATTAATTATTGGTTTTGAAATCACATAAATTTAGAAGTGGAATCAATTATATTCCAAAGAAATTTCTTTTGAATCCAAAGTAAATTTTTTAATCTATTGATTACATAAATATTTTATTGTTAATTGATGTTTAATTATTGAAAGATATTTTAATATAATATTTTTAGCTTGTTCGTAGTAATAAATTTTAATTAATAATGTCATAAATTTAAAAATATTTTAATTGATAAATAAAATTAATCTGTGCATTGCACGAGTCACAAACTAATTAATTATATATATCTAAACCTAAAATTTTAATGTAGATAAGATAATTAATTTTGCATTAGCCTTAATAAATCAACTTATATATTAATATATAATTTAAAATGATTAAATCGGTCCCTTGAACTAAATAAATCACCGTAGAGCTGACAAAATTATATATATGAAAAACAAATTATAGTCATATGACATACACGTCTGAATATGATATATTGTTTTTCTTTTTGTTTTCTTCTTGAAAGTAAAATTGAATCAATATTTGTGTTAGTGCACTTTTCCACATATATTTCTCTCTTCTAAAAACAAATTTTTGTTTCCTTAAAATTTTCATGATTCTTTTCTCTTTTATATCTTTAAATAATCATTCATTATGTATAATAACATTTACGTGATAAAATTGTAGGCAAAAGCTATCAATTAATAGAACAATCAAATAAGTTAAGACATAATCAATTTATCAATCATTTTGTACAAGAAACAATAATTGAATATGATTTAATTTAATCCAAAGTGACTTATACCCATAAAAAAATTCATTAGTTATTAAAAAATTATAAATAAATCAAATTAAACATTCAATCTCACAACCAAATCTCAAATATACAAATCAATCAACCTAAACAATGTTTACAGTACCTATGTGGCTCACTTTGCTTATATGAATCCTTTCATTTTATTTTTTTTTCTAATCCAACCAAATATACATGTTCATAAATTTTTTTTTTTCAATTTCCTTTAATTTTATGGAATATTTATCTTAATAAAATTTTACAACTCTCATACATAACTTTATAAAAACTCTCACTGTTTATGGAAATACTAATTTACCTATAAAAATTTTCTTTCATTTTAGAATTCCTTTTTTTATAAGCTTTCTTCTCCGTCAAATATTATCTAGATAATTTTAAAAAAATCTCCATCAAATTTCTTATTAAACTTAATCACTATTTCCAAAAAAAATTAATCGTTTATTTGTTGGGTATGCATTAAGACTAGTATTAAGAGGAAAATATGCATGTTAATGAAAATCTATTGTATATTTCACAAGAAATGTGGCGGCAGGGAATGAAATTCTAGTTTTTTGTTTTTTTTCAACCTTTAAAAACCATAAAAATTTTCAATTATCTGCTAAAACATATTTCTTTCTTTTTTTAGAAAAATGCTAATGGCTACATATGAAAATTGTAGGATAATTTGAGAAGACGAGGATAACGCTTACAGCAAAGTGGGAAAAGAACTTAGAAACAGAAAGAATTTTAGGAATGCGAATGAAGGAGAAAAGAGAGAGATCTCATTGTAGGGAGAAGTCACGGAAAGCTGCGAGCGATGGAGACAACCAGAGAAAGAGAATGGAAAAGTTGACAATCGGAATCAACAACATATATAGTCTAGCTTCTAATGATGCGCCATCACGTAACAGAGGATGAAACAATGGTCTAATGCAGCGGAACGCAACATCGTTAACTTCTTGAGGTCCTTATAAAATATAAAAAAAAAAAAAAATCGACAACCATAACCATTAGCCTGTGATATTTATACTTCGAATTGGTTGAGACTAGGAATCGAGCTCCAGTCGTAAAGGGCCAAAATTATCTGCACAGTCAAATAAATTCTATGCCAAGATTAATTTTGGTAGCAATTTTTTTTGGGGGTTAAGCCGACATTTTGACACTTGCATTTACCTCTACAACGGCATAAAACGTGTGGGATTTGCTTTTCTCGAATGATATTAAGCAAAGTCAAAAAGTATAGGTCTCAATCCCTTTCAACTTTCCTTGTTGCAAAGCGACTATGCTTTGCAATTTGACAGCTTTTTTTTGCCCTTTTGCCTTTTCGGCCACATCTTGAAGCTTAGCAAAGATATGTCCAAAGATGGGATATCCATAATCATAAACCGCGTGCGTGGATTCAAAACGCCTGGCCTACTTCAATTCTGATGCCTTTCCCTTTCAAATTCTCCAATTATAAGCTTATGTACTCAGGTATTTGTATGTATTCAGCTTTAATGCATCAATAGAAAAACTTCTTAAAACCTGACCTGGCAGGCAGGGGAATTTCTTTTCAGTGTTATGAGTGGAAATTTGACTTCCCATGAACGGTACCAATTAACGACCAAGGACCAATCTCCCTGCAACAGTCTATAACTCTACTGAACCAACAATGAAGGCTGAAAACTGTAACAAAAAATAATAAATTAATAATATGCTGGCAAGGATACAGTGCAGCTAATGTCGAAAGTCGCTAACAAAGCACATTGGTAAAATTCTGAGACAAAATACAATCAAGCATATCACGAGAAATTAGGACCCTATATAATGAATATGACACTTAAAACTAGATAACAGTGTGAACTTTTTTTCATTTAGCGGCTTGGCAACTTTTAAACGATAAACCTGCAGCTGATGACGATAAGGATGGATGCTTTTATCAAATATTGCTCAACCCAAAATTCAAAACCTTATCTTAACAAAAACGACAAATGGGGTTGAAGCTGCCTACGGACCATTGCTTTAGAATTCAGATAGTTGACTTTCAGAAATGGAAGGCAATAGGTAAGTACACCCTCAGCATTCAGAACCATCAGGCTGCACAGATGTGACTCGGGAAATGACATCACAAGGAAATTTAGGGATAATTATGCTGACAAAACCACAAATGATCAATAAGCTCTTTCAACTAATAATAATTAACCCTTCATAATTACGTAATTTAGCAGGCCGTGTACCTAAAGTCCTTAACCATGATAAAGACATTCGGGGTTATCTTGGCTGGCCCTGCCCTCTTCAATGTATTTTTGAAGCTCCTCGTAAGCTTGCCTGGACTGGGTAGCATGCTTTTCCATTGCAATGAAAATCTGCTTTAGACCATACTGTAAACTAGTAGCATCCTTAATATCACTGCCACGTGTGGTTTCTCTAGGTAAAAGGGCAGCACTTTCTTCCCTTGCCAACAGTGTCATCTTTTTCACTCGAGCTTGCATCATTTTTTTCATCTTTTGCTCCTCTTTTTCCAAGATCTTTACTTTTCTTTCCATATCCTTATCAGCAATAATCCTTTGTTGCAGATCTGCATTATGCTGTTCCAGCACTTGGTTTATGCTCATGAAAAGTCCGTGCATCCCTTCGACTACTTCCTCCGCTGACAGTTTATCCATGGCTTCCGACCACTGGTTAACGATCACAAATACAGGGGGTACCTCCCATCTACCAGGAGAAAAAGGTGATACACCGTCTGCTGTTTCCTCGGGTTCATATCGGAGACATCTTCGTAGCCAACCATTCAAAGCTTTAACATAGCCCCTCTGGGCTTCAATCCAACTAGAGAAGCTAAGGCTCCAGTTTCCAAGCTCAAGCTTTAGTTTTATTGCCACTTCAAGATGAGCGTCGTTAAGCTTTCCATTCAGAGCAATGACATCCAAACATTTGGCTTCCATAACCTTTTGGCACTGACAGCTGTGGCATTCTAGCATTACCTTCCACATTCCAAACAATCTAAAACAAGTAAATTGCAGTTAGCCACCTTTATTCAACCAACTTCAGAAAATCAAGCGTTTCATGTCACTTCATAAATGAAAAAGAAAAAAAAAAGAAAATAATCTTATCTCCAGAATTTGCCTCATTTTCCCCCATCCCAGTTTAGTTCCCTGGAGACTGATTTCCATAATCCTGAATTTCAACATTAACTGACAACCATGTGAATTTTGATGCTTCCACAGAATCTAAGGTTTCTCTTCAAAGTCAAAATGGTCCATTATCAGGCCATTTTCTTGGTTATCAGTGACTCCACTTATTCCTGATATCCTAACCAGAATCTGCAGTCTCTACAGTGTATCTAAACCTAGCAACGACTTAGGAGCTGTTGAGAGCTCAAATAATCTAATTAATGGGAGAATTATGATAAATAAATCAGTTAAAAGTATATCTAGGAAAAGATTGGTGGTAGTTGCAAAAGCCTCCTAATGTGAATTCAAGTCAATCCAACCTAATTAATCTCTTTCGTAGAACTTTAGTGACCAGACTCCATCCAGCCCATATTTGTTAATAAGGAATCATTATTTATTGGGCCTTTATTCCTTTTTAAAACAAATGGACTAATAGGTGCTATGTGCTTGCAATAGGAGGTCAGCCGCCGTCCTCCTTATAATCTATTATTACTAGTGAAGTGAATGTAATATCAGCAGATTGACAAGTTGAATATTGAGGTACTCTCAAGTCTTCTCGTTATGTTCTTGAGAGTTGCACGGCATAAAGCAGCGTAATTTTACTGGAGTGGCAATGTACCTGTTAATCAGTTCAAAGATCTGTGGCCACAACTCTTCATCCATCAGCTTATTAATAGTAATCGCTATCTTGTCAATAACTTGAATTGCAACTCTCATCTTTGTAGATAAGGCCCTAATCAAAGTTCGTGTGGAGTCAACTCTGCGAGCATCAGCACCCTTCTGATCAAAACTTTTCATCTGTCCACACTTCTTTGCATGAATTATACGCAGCTTTTCCTCAGCCTTCAAAATATAAGTAAATAAGGCACACCATCTTTAAAACTAAACCTTGTATAAAAAAGGCAAAAGATGGAAGACAAATTCAACAGTATTGTGCAATAATCCAATATGCTCGTGATAATATGTTTCCATCCAGTCTTAATTTAGTGGAGAATTCCAAAATTGGGTTGGAAAAGAGCTGCCTGAAAAAAAGATAATGGTTCCAATTTAGAGCATCCTATAGGAGCTGCCTAAATCATTGTGCAACATTGTACCTCCAGGAATCGTCACTATTAAATCAAATCGAGTAATTTTTTTCCCCTTAAGTTTTAAAGTTTCCACAATCCAGAAACTGTGTTGATTTCAAACAATTCAAACACCTGGCTATGACTGTTTTCAATAAATAAGTGATTATCCAAATAAAAAACGGCTGACTTGGAAACAGATCATTCGATAATACATGTCTTAGTCTCTCTACAGATCACTACTATGATGATGCCCAAAAGATTAAGCTTTTAAAGTATTAACACCAAGAATATAAATTTTGATTTAAGTACATCAGCCTCGTATTTACCAACTCATTCACCCTTTCAACACTCAAACATGAACTAAAAGGAACAGTTGAAAAAGGTAAGTAAAATTCAAAAGCATCTTTGATTATTGACCATACCTTGACTTCATCATAGAGCTTCTTCTCCCACATGCACAGTTTCCTCAGAGTAGAAGACAGATTGACTGAACTCACAATCTCATCATTATCCACAGAAGTAACCTTATCTTTGGATAGTAAGGACTCTGTTTCCGATGAATTTGAAGCAATCATATGAAAAATCTTCGTAGAACCTGCATCATAGAAACCATAAAAACTACGCAACTGAAATTCCAAATCCACAATTAGTCAAGGGAATATTAAAATTATACCTTGATAAATAGATTTTTTGTGATGATAACGAAAATTTCCAGTGTCAAACATTTTCAGAACTTCATTCCCGGACTCCGAAGCCTTCTCAAAAAGGACTTGTAATTCTTTCATTACCTCTGAAACACTTTGTTTACCGCTTTGAATTTTCGGTTCATTTAAATCAGCCCTCTTTTGAACCTTCTCCATCTCCGAATCTACTTTCTTCTTATTCTCTGCATCATCGTTCTTTACTGGAACAGGTTCTCCGCTCGGATTTTCTTCTCTTTTTTCATCTCCATGAATTTGTTTTACTAGATTCGCTTCAAGATCATGAATTCCTTCTTTGTTCTTCACTGCTTTGCTCGAAGAATAAGGTAACTCGTTTCTCTCGTAAATTTCATCAAAAAAATTCAAGTAATCCCAAGCGGCGCTCCTCGGAGCCGGAGGTGGCGGTGTTTTCCAGCCTGAGCCACTGAATTCGCTGTTTTGGTATGTATTAGCATGATAATTATGATTAGGCAAAGAATATGATGTTAGGATTCCGTGATTAGGATAATTTGGATGGATTTGGTTAAAAGATGTAATAAAATCTTTGCCTGTCTCATCCTCTTCTGAATCAGTATCAAACTGAATATGTGAATCTGAGTTTGAACTCGAGAGAGAACGGTTCGGCGAGGAAAGAGGAGAAGGTTGCTTCGGCTGTTTCTCGGTGGACACGGCGGAGTCATCGACGGACGTAGATTTGAGACTTTGATCGAAAGAATGGTGGAAAGTGGGGCCAAGTGTCTTGAGCGACTGCATGTATGCCACGTGTGCATCGGCAAGGGCGTAGCTTTGTTGGAGAGCGTCGTTGAGAAAGTTGCAGCGGTCGCGGCATAGAGAGACAGCCGGAAGCTGGTCAAATTTTGAGGTGGCGCAGCCCATGAAAGACACGCGCGCTTGAACCCAAAAGAAGTTGAAAAATCAAAGGCAAGATTTTTAATGTCCTGAAAACATTTTCTTTTATGGCTTTCTAAATAACGACAATGGCTCTGCAGAGACAGAATTAATAACGGAAATTAATGGAGGCTGAGCCGTTGTCAATTCTTCTTCAATTTTGTGGCACATTTAAGATGCATTGGTCGTGAATAATAAGAATAAGGAAATTAAAAAAAAAAAAATGGAGTAAAGACTGGGAAGTAGTTGACTGGGATTTATACAAAAGGAAAGGAGTGGCGGGATAGGCATAACGTCTCTTTGATATTTTCCTTTTTTTGCACTGTTGATCCTACTACTTTTAAATTTGCATTTATGCCCTACTTGTTTTAAATTTTTACTACGATAGAATATAGAGAAGAACAATTCCAAAATACGCAACTTGAAGTAAATATACCTCAGCACCATGTGCATCATTTCTGCAACGTCTAACTCCTATAAAAAGACCATTTTACCATGATGATTTTGACAACGCAAAAGCTAGTTTAATTCCATTTTTCAAAATCATCTACACTGCGAAATCATGCATCTATTTTTTGTTTTTTTGTTCTCTCCATGATGATAAGGGCAATAAAATTTTTAACTTTTATTACTTTAGCATTGGTTTAACAAAAAGTGGATATGGCTCTCTGCAGAATCCTTACAGCACTAATGGGGGATGGCGTGGCTCAAGGGAGGTAAGAACTTTTAACCCATTTGGGTAAATTCCGTTTCACCTGCTTTGAGGAATGATTCTTATGCAGAAACTAAAGAAAATTTTAACGTTCAAATGCCAAGGAATTTTGGAATCAAGAGAGGAAACTTTTAACAAATCCATGTCCATGATGGGGTTTTGAATCTAGTAACTCCAACGGAGATTGTAATGGAATTCCAACTCAACAAAATCTTTGTCTTATTGTCTGATCTCTCCTTTTTCTTTATGCTATTTTTCTTTCTTAAGGTGGGAAATGCAAGCATGGTCCTTATTTTCATCCCAAGCTTTTATTTATATAATCCTAATTCCTAGGGAAGGCTATTCTTTTGCTAGTGCCCTCATAAAAATATGGTAGCTGAAGATAAGTTCTTTTAATATGTCTTGCCATCACATGACTGTAGGCTACCTCTACATCAGGGCAGGGCAAAGCAAGTTCCCCCAAATCCTAGCGTTAATCTGATTATTATTGGCAGAAATTGCAGATGCCATTCATTTTCAGAACCCGGCAGCTCAAATCATGGGAGACAAAGTGCTTTTGTCCATGATAAAATATATTTTTTCTAACTGAGATGTTTTAGCCTTTTCATGTTTTTTATTTGAATGAAAGATTTAAAATAAAGAAAGAAGCTGATCAAACATCTTTTTAACACATCCCTAATTAACTTCAACGACCATGTTGCTTGTACTTCTCTACAGCAACCGTTCCATCATTTTTTTCTCCCAAAATAAAGTTGGCACCATGATTTGTCTCATTTGGGAAGTGATTTTTGAAAGTTGGACGTTATAATCATAGCAACCGATGGAATGAACGATTATGTGTTTAATGCAAAACTCAAAGTGAACTACAAATGGTCATAGCCATGGACTGACATCAGAGATACTGCTAATGTTCCTTAATCCATGAATATTCATAAGCTTGAAAAATGGAAATAAGGCTAGTAAGATTTGATTATTATTATTATTATTATTATTATTGTTAATCATGCATCAATCTTCAAACCAAATATTCAGGTGCATAAGATTGCTTAATTATAGTTTCATAAGTGGCAATAGGAAATTTTTGTATTTACTGCAATATGCATGGGAGCCTGTCCCACTTGAGCTACTCCATACTATGTTTAGTGCATTATTTCTGTGGTCCTTTTTAATTTTTTTTCTGTATTTATACTTTATATGGTCTAAAAGAATTAAAGCACTTCAATTATTTTCACTTTAATTCGTTTCAACTTAGAAATCTTTCACGCCTTAAAAGGCTTGCCCATTAAAGGAAATTTGCTGGCATGACACTGAAATTCTTTTCAAAAAGGCGTTTGTAATAAGTTGGGGCCTATGCAGGCCTACCTGCTCTATGAAATGACAGCAACAAAGCCCAAAGTTTTAGTCCATTGGGTTGGGATGGTCCACCTTCTCTGGCCATCCAGTGCAGTTTAGATTGTTTCCGCGTACAATTATAGGCTTCAGTCACAGTGCTTGTCTTATCATTATTTGTAGTCTAATAGGGAGGGTCCATTGGCCATCTTAGGATTGAAATAATTCCAATTTTCAAACGAAAATAAGAGATAACAGCAGGGCCCAGGAGACTGTACCTTCTGTCTCTTTTCCTCTTTAATTTACTTTTTTTTAAGGGACAAAGCTCTACAATAAAAAGAGAGAAGTTTGGAGTCCAACTTTAATTTTATGTCTTTTTAAGATTTGTTTAGTCGTTAGAACAAACGACTGAAGATTTTTTTAATTTGCTTTTACTAAAAAGAGAGGGAGAGGCTGTAAGATTCTTGGACCTGTTTCATCCAACTTGTGATGTGTTTTGGCATAAGCCAATCATACAACATAATCCATACAAATTATAAAGATTTTTGTATTTATCACCTAGCACTTTTAGCAAATTTCACCACTTTTTCTTTCTCAAAAAAACAATTATTGTCACATACGACCTTTGGTGTCTCATATGCATTGCTATTTGCCGTTCAATTTCAAAATATGAAAATAGTACAAAGTAAATGCATTCGTAAACACTTTTATTCGATCGTCCTATATATGACGGTTGTAATAGACTTTGTTTCAGTACATGAATGTGACAAAAAGTTTTTTGTTCGATTAGTTTCACGTTCTCATTAGCTATGGGATCGACATGTAGAGTTGAGACCAGCTGACTAAGGGACCACAAATTAGTGCCTTGCTATCTTTATACTGTGCTTCTGCTGGGAGTGGATGCCAAAACATATGAGCTAAGTTATGGGCTAAAATCTGCTGTCGGTGGCGGTGGAGAATCCAAAATTTCTTAAGGCAAGTTGAAGCCAACCCCAATTATATGCAGCATTATATATCTGCTCTTATATCTTTGAGGCAAAACTCATGATGAAGGAATGATTGATTTTAATTATTAGCACAATACCTCTTTTTTTTTTTAATTTAATTATAACCAAAACAAGCCATGTGCTGTTTTCTTTGCTCTGTCAACGTGCATACCCTACATATTTTCCCTTTTCCTTTGCTTTTTGTTGCCATAAGAGACTTGAGCTGCTGTCACGTTGGATCTTTCACCATCTGTTGAAAAGCCGTTGCCTGCCATGTGCAACCGAAAAACCATTGCAAGAAGTAAGCTTTTTTTCTTTAATTTGTCATTAAGCTAATGAGAAGAGACATATAATTAATTCAACTTAGACACTCAATTATGATTCCTTTGGTCATTGACTTGAATATAAAATTTCTGGGGAGTCATATTAGCAATGCAATGCGAAATTAGTATATTACTATTTATTAAGTACTATCAGATTTGGAGCCAATGACAATTGCTACAAATTAATTGTATGCTTTTAATTTCTCACAGGAAGCAGATTGTAATATCTTGGGCTTTAGAAAACTGAAGCTCCGTTTCAATTGTTGCCAACGTAATAGTAACAAATTTAAGAGCAAGAGATAACATTGATAATTTGTTTTCAAGGCCAAAATTTAAAGAAAATGAAGACTGTACACCATTCGAAAAACAGAAGATAGAGTTTACAAAAACAAAAGACAAATTACATCTCTATTTTGTCTTGTGAGATATATTTGATATACTATTAATATATAAATTTTACACATTATCAATGAATAAAATGATGTCATATTTGTTTGCGATGTACAATAATGTTAATAACTACTTACTTCCTGCTTGGTGAGAGTATTGAGCAATGAAACCCTAGTGTTTATCAAACTCCTAAAAGCTTTTTCACTGCCACTTTCAACATCAGCCATGCACCTTTCCAAGTCTTGCATTCTCTTCAAAACCATCCTCACTTCTTCATCTCCCTTCTTTCTCAAACCCCACATGTTAGCTTCACCAATTTGTTGAAATTCTTTAATACTTTCCTCAATCTTAACCTTCTTGGCTTTCTTTGACAACGTCAACGGCATCCAAGACGATTTTCTCGAAGTAAATGACATGGAAATCCCTTTGAAAAGCGCCAGTGAAACTGAAACAGTCACTTCAATAACATCGCTGATAACACCAGCCAGCTTAGTATCTGCAATTGCCACCGAAGCTGATACGGGAAATGAGTATTGCCCAATGCATCGGATTGTGGAGACGAGTTTAGCTATCTCTTTAACCATCTTCTTGCGACCTTTCAAATACATGGCAATCTTTGAGTCGTTTTTTCTCCTTAGAGCCACCCGCGCTTCGAGTTGCTCTTCTTTAAGTGCAAGAAATGATGTTTGGAATATCCCATAAACATCAACAAAATGTAGGAAATCTTCAAGAAGCTTCTCAACCCATTCACGCTTATGGCTTACCAACTCATGGGTCTGTGGGAGCTGAAGAATATCATGGAAAGAATCATGAACGTCCTTCAGGCGACTCAAGCCATCACAAAGCCAAGCCGAGGTTCGGTTATCAGGATTGGTTGACCATGTTTTGAGCTCAGTGATTTCGTCTTTGAGTTGGGAAATCAAGGGATGTGATCTGCATGGAAGAGAGATGGATCTGATGTGGTGAGAAATTGGTGGTTTGGATGGACGGCTAGGGGTTTTATTAGGGAAAGAGAGTGACCGCCTGAAAACGCCAACCATCTTTTTTGGGGCTACTGGTATTTTGTTCTATTTTGTGGTATTGGCTCTGTTTAGAGTTGTGTGCTTTGACAAGGAAATGAAAGAGAGGAGATAGTAGTATATAAAGGGCAAACAACTAAGGCGCACGAGGGGGGGAGGGTGAGGGATGTGGGGGACTGGATCCGCGAATAAATATTAGCTGTTAGAGCCTCTACACTAAACAATCAGTCATGTGGGTTTGGGGTTGCAAACCGAGGCGCTTTGGGTTCCTTTTCCTGTGGAAAGCAGACACCACGTGGTTTTGACACCCTGGCAGCTCTGCTCATTGAAGCAAGTCTTGCCAGGGCTTGGTGTTACTTTTGTCCAGTGACTAATACGTGAGCCCTGTTGTTCAAAGTTCCTGGGCTTCATTTGAGTCTTGATTAGCTTAGGTAGCTCATATGTTACGCCTATAATTCAAGGATCATGAAAAATCAGTTGTTAAAACACTCGACCTTCTAGGGATAAAAACTATTTAGCCAATTCTTCGATCCTCTAAACTAAAACACTTGAAGAAAATCAGTTCAAGTACATTGTCAGAGTTAAATTCAAGTGCTTTCGAGTGAAAGTAGATTATTAGAAATTTTTAAGCTATGATATCAACTCTCTAATCCAACAATTACATCATACATGGATGCTTAATATTATTACAAATGGAATCATATATAGAATCAATTCTTTGATTCTTTTGGATGTTAATTGTTTCCTTATTCAATTGAATGACTTTACAGTTGAATTTCGCACACAAATGCCAACAGCCAGCGTCAATCCTATGTTACAGTGCAAGTTTGTGCTGTCCCCCTCTTGCACCACTAATATGGTATGTTGATGATAAACGGTACATGGACAGATCATGAGGGCTCAGCCATCTCAAGGCATATGCCAGAACTGCTCGAATTTCCTTGTTTCTAACTAACTAATAATAGAATACAACTTCAGAGAGCCTCTAGCTGTCACTAATAAATATAACGGGACCAGCCCTCTACTTGCATCTGGAATCAGAACAGCACACTGGTCTCCTGCAAATCTGCAACGTGGCCTTCATTTTTTTAACTTTTAAACGCGTGAAGGTTCAATTCACACGTATTTCCTAGCTGCCAACTTCCCGATAACCGCTGGAAAAATACAAATTTTTATGTCATAAAAACGAAGAAGATTATGCAGAGCTGCTAAGCTATAATGTTTCACGCGGTTCTTGGAACTTGAAGAAGATTACACGGGCCTAAGAATCTGTGAAATTATTATATAACAATACATATTCAACTTAATCAAGACAAAATATGGAATACCAATGCGCTTCCAATTGATTCATGCAAAGGAATGAGGATTAATGGACAAGTTATAAAATGGGAGGCCTCATGCAATGTTGAGGTCTGCCTACCTTCTGTCAAAGAGAAGAATATTTGGGTAGAAATAATGTATATAGACCACCATTCCAGAAGCTGTAGCAACATTTGATCAAGCAATTAAGAGGCCAATTAATTGAAGTTATGCAAAGGAGATAAATCAAGTATTTATATCAAACCATTCGCAACTACTCTCACTACTTGGACTTTTCCTATTGGAGACAAATGTGGTATAGTTGGCAAACTTCAGTGATAATTGGAGATAAATTAAAGTGATCTAAATGAAAATTTGATGAAAGTTTAGTGATCATTGTATAATTTACTTCGATTAAAAAAAAAAAAACTGCATTCAACTACCGATAATTCTTTAATAACAATAGTGTTAATTAAGTAAACCCTGAATCCATCCCTTCTCGTTGAAGCAGTTGTATATATTTATTTGTTCGTGGTGATGGTCATTGGTTTACTCGAATACATGCAACCAATTTTGTTGATCAAAACAAACTGGAGCCTAGCCGTGGAATTCATTACCCGCATTCTTGGCAACCAGACATGACAGATAGGCTTTGAACAACTTGTCCTTGAACTCCTCAACTATTGTATAATGTATAGTTTAGATAAGATTTCAAATTAAGTCACGAGATTCTTGGGCAAAAAACGGTGAGTTTAAGCAGTTAGGGTAGCATGCCAAGAAACTGAAGACGGGGATAACGATTACTCTCATTTATCTTATATTGCCATTGACTCAGCACACGCGGAGCAGTTGAGATTATTAGAAGGCATGATCTTCACCAAAAGCTGAAGGGGAAAATTGATTCGTCACGTTTTACACTTTTTTTTTTCTCTAATATTCCTCCGAACATGCGGAACATGTGATTTTTTATTACGAGGGAAGTGTTAAGTGTTAACAACTAGGCGAAGGCCCGAATAAGATATGAGATGGAATGACTCAGAGTTTTTTAATTCTTTTGGTAGATAAACAAGTTGAAAATCATTTCAAACCCACAACAAGAATTTGGCAAAAAGTCACGATGGAAAATATTTTAATCACTTAACAGTTTAATTAATTAATTATCATACGTACTCACTTTCGTCACAGCGAGCTATCAAGAAATTGGCCAGGTCATAATAGCTTTTCCTGTTAGGCAAAAAGACCAAAAAAAAAAAAAACTTTATCTTTGATCTTTAAGCAAGGGATAAACTTGATGCGAAATTTATACTTTTAAGTTGGAAACTTGGAAATGAGATTATGGGAATGACAGGTAACATCAGAAAACTGATCTCTTTGCATAATCCAAAACCAAATTAATTCCCTTCAGTGTCTACTTTAAAAACGAAAAAAAAAAAAACCTTCTTGAATAGCATTATTAATACCTTCTGGTTAGTTAGCTGAAAGCAGAGGTGCTAAAATGAACTATTCTAGTCTATGGATCCCATCCTTTAAATAGGAGTACACCCATTGTGTAGTTAATTGGCCCCGAATGCTTAAGACTAATTAATTAGGAGTAGAGGCCTTTTTAGGTTAAGTTACGTTGGATCATATAAAATTACCTTTTAGTATGATATCAACATTATACATATTTATTCAAATTTGATTTGATTCAATAATTCAAGCTTTAAATTTTATTCAAATCCATCTAGATTTATAAATGCAACAACTCAAGCTTGTCTATATATATTTTTAAAATTTTAAGGATAAAACATGGTTTTTATTTATTTTTAATAATTTTATTTTTATTAAATTTTAAAACATCGAATACTTAACACAATTTTTAACGTTACATTGCAATACTAAATATATTTATCTTTGATATGATATAAATTACATAATATATAAATAAAAATAATAAATATTATAATTGAAAAATAAATTAAGTCGAGCTTTAAACTTTAAATGTTAAAACTAAGATTTGATTTATTTTTTAAACGTAATAGTTTTATTCAAATCTTTTTTAATATTAAACGACTTTCAGATTTAAATGAATAACTCAGACCTTTTGACAAGTCTAATCAGAGAGTAATACGTCCATTAATTGAGAGCAATACATATGGCTTACCATGATAACCAACCTGCGGCAACCTTAACAGGATACCCAGTGCCCATCCCATCTAGTCAGGAGATACCCAACCCAAAAGATGAGCCCATTTTCAAAAAGAACATCCCTCTGACTAACAAGTATTACAACTTACGAAACCCACAGAAATATTATTCTAGTCCAAATAACCGGTACTCCTACGGTGCACTGTACTATAGACATAGACTCTAGGACGTTGCGTGGCCTCTAAAACGAATGCGATGGATGGTCCTTCAACTCCCATTCGATCAGAGACCAATGGGCTAATTAGCATTTGCCTTCGGCTTTCAAAATGCAGCTTTTTGGCAACGTTGACTTCCCAAGATGCAGCTTAATTTTTGGCCACCGACGCAACGTTAAATGTTTGACTTCTAAAACTGACCATCAGCGCAAGTGGTTTAAACATGGGTGGTGGTTTCGCTTAAGCTCCCAAAACGCTCTCAAAAACTTTCAAACTGACCGTCCACGCAATGCTAAACATGGTTTGGTGGTTTATCCGGCTCCGAAAATGCAGCTTTTGACCGTGCGCCAACCCAATGTTAAACATGGTGTGGTTTGGCCTTTGGCCTAAAACGAATTGGTGAATGATAGTAGTAAGTTTTGGAAGCTGATCATATTAGTGTTGATTCTTATTTCCTAACTGCATCTCTTTAGCTCACTGTTCTCTCTTTCCTATGTGACATTTCTACAGTCTTTATTTTTCCTCCGACTAATTAGCAAACAGGAAGTTATCTCCTTGACTAAGAAAGAGAACAAGTCATATGTCCCAGGCATGGGATGAGTGTCATTTGAATAGTTCGATGATAGGCATGCCAGAGGTGGGTGTGTGTCATTTGAATAATTGGATGGAAGGCCTCGATTCCAAATTTTACTAATAAAATAATTATGCTGGAAAAAAAACTTACTAGTACTATTGTTAAATTTAAAAAATGGCAGTTGAAAGGAGGAATGTTATTGAGGTGGACAGGGAAACCGGTTTTTATCGTAAAATACTAAAAAATATTGGGATATTTTATTGAAAACTGCTTTCTGAAAATGAAATGACAACTACTCACAGTCACATCAACTATTTGGTCCTTGCGACTGGTGTTACTGGAACATCACCATCCATCCCTGTTGGTTTTGGTTTCAGGACCTAGAATTTCAAGTGTTTCTAGTGACCATTTGGTTTTCAACTACCATTCCTTCAATGCGTCACTCTAATTTTCACTTTAAATTTTCTTTCCTTCCGTCAACAAAATACAAATACCTTTTTTTTTTTCCCCTTCTTCCTTTATTAATATTTAAAGGAAATCAGTCCACTAGTTGTCTGTTGAATAAATATTGTGCAATGGGGAATAATAAATGATGAAAGTGAAATTTTGAACGCAAAAATTCTTAAAATATGTGCAAAATAAAATACAAAATATGAAACAGAAGGAGATTATACTATAGTACTTGTATTAATTATTTTCCTTTCGTCTCCTTAATGGTTTGTGTTTAATTTGTGGTCACCTTTCTACTCAACTTCATAGTTTCACACACGTCTATATCCACCTAGCTAGTTAAGGTTATGCCAACTCTGAAAATTCTAAAGAAGAGTCATCAATTGCTTTATAGAAATATCTAAAGCTACTTCCGTTTACATAATGCAGTTGATTCTAGATTACAAGGTATAACACGTGTATTGAAAAAGATTTTCAACATAAAAGAATAATTTACAATTCCAAAAAAACACCCTAATCTAATGCTTTGTAAAAGAATCATCTCTGTGTCATCCCAATTCCGATTCTACAGATCTCCTCCGCCGCAGGTGCCTCCCACTTGACAGCCTTTTTCTTCATTTCTCCAAAATCACTAACACATTCCTCAAACTTCAAAACCTGAACTCGTCTCCTCTCCGCAGCGAGTTTTTCACCGGCAACTCCATCGAAAATATTCTCCCACCCGTTCTTCCTCTCGCCACGGGCATTGCATAGTTCAATAGACCCTTTACCCCAGTTGGTCCAGCTCCATCTCTTGTCAAGTGAAGACATTACATGCCCCACGCAACGGTTTTTACATACAGGAATACATGGCCTGCATTTGGCCCCACTTAGTGGACCAGGACTCGACAATGCTGCCACTGGCACTCCCAAATGGACAGGTGGGAATTTGTAAGTCCTATCCGTCACGACGCAGAACGGTAATCGATTTTCTACGTAGGATATCTTTTGGGTGGTGAGTTGGGCTTTGAACGCTGATTCTGAGTTTAGTTGCCTGTACCCTGCCGAGTAAAGTTTGGGGATGAGAGACAGACGGGAGAGTGCAATTTTGGAAGTGTAGAAGTCGCCGATGCCGAGACGGTCATTAAGGCCGCCGTAGACCGATCCTGAAGGGACTGTGTATTTGCCAGCCACGAAGTTTCGGGGATGTAACGGTGCATTCCAGTAACCGTCTACTATTGTGCGGACTATCCAGTCGTAGGTGAAGTTGTGTTGTTTTTGGTGTGATTCGATTATCGTGAGGCATCCCTCCACCAAATAAAAATACTGTAGAAGGCCCTGTGCGAGATAACGAGAAATTTAGATTGTTCTTAAGGTGGAAAAGTCGTCTAAACCGGGACAAGTGGAGATCAGATCAGCACTCAAACCGCCTAAATATGGGTTCGGTCTGATAAATTTAAAATAAAATCGATTATGCCATAGAAGCAGAATTTTTGACAAAGAGAATGCAGCCTTTTCCCATGTGTACCTTTCCCAGTTGGAAATAAATCAGAAAATCGCTAGTCGTCTTTATTAAAATATTTGGTCACCCTGGAAATTTTCAATATTACAAAAACTACACTAAGGGAAAAAAAATGCCTTTTGTTTCGGCAATTGTGATGAGTGGGTACATAATCATGACATCATGCAATAAGTACTGGTATTAGCAAGATCCCAGTTACGCAGATTTGATTGATTCGGTTGTTGAGTTGACCATGAATTCATTAATTACGACTAATATTTACTAAAATGAAGTTTGGCTAGACGCAAAGGATGCATCAAATAAGCGAAAATGTATGTATTATGTCTATTATCCCAACTTTAGGAGAAAGATTAAAAACAAGGCAAGCCAGTTGTAAAACGTGTAAATTATTTGAAATAGTTAATGAACAGATGGAGAAAAAAAGGATATATTGGAAAGTAAAAAGGTTCAAATGGAGTTAGTTGCCATGAAGTGGAACAAATACTTATGAAACCCAATTTAAGTAAGATTTGATGTAACCAAACATTTAACGAAGTTCACAGTTTCCACCTGGATGCCTTTAGGGGAGTTGACCGCCGTAAGGACTCGAACTTGCTCCTTCGTCTGCGGCACTAATTTCCGATCAAATATTCGAACCGAGGCGAGTCTTGGCGCGGTTCTTAGAAGTGATAACTTGAAGGCATTCTTGTCCATGGGACTGTGCAAAAAAAGGTCTGCATTAGGATATTCTTTAAGAACCTTCTCCACGATCGAAGGTCCTGTAAGCTCGAACCTCCTTGCTCCGCCAACCAAGCACAACGCCCCCCTCGACTGATGCAACTGATCAGCCTTGGCCAAGTGGGTTCGATTGGGGGGCCCAACGGAGTATGAAATGATAAAATCGGAGAAGTTGGTTCTGTTGAAGATGAAAGACCGGAGCGAGAAAATAAAAAAAATGAACGAAATAGGGAAGATTACTAAAAAGAGAATACGCCAATCAAGATCCGAAACCCATTTCGTTATTACAACGTTGACCCTTCGTGGCTTCTTTGCCATCTCTCCTTCCAAAACCCATTTCCTTATTAGCATGTTGATCCTTTGTGGCTTCTTTACCATCTCTCCGTAATTCTCTTCGTGCACCCTGCCAACTTTGAATTTCTGGGTTTTGACTTCACCCATAGAGAACCCTAAGACAAATTTGCAAAACATGAAAAAAAAAAAAAGAATGATGATGATGATGGCTTGATGGTGGAAGTTAATTAAGAGCTACGAAGGGCGATAGGAGACGAACTTTTAGCGTGAGTTTATGTAGTTTGGTTACATGTACGGTAATTAATTTCGGAATTTCTGGTCACTGCATGCTTTAACATGATAGCACGACCTCACAAGAGAAAATTCATTTGATATGTAGCTAGACAAGTTGCGTCTTCGGTTAAGTTTAAAGTGCTACATTTCGATGTTAGCCAACCAAAACCGACCCTTGACAGTAAATTGTTTTAATAATCATAAGTTAGATATATAAACAAAATGATGTTAATATGGTTTAATTTAAAAGTTTTTATGTAAAATTAATGTTGGTAGGATTTGTGTTTTTGTTAGATCATGAAAATAATGGTGTAGTGAGTAATTTGTTTCATTTCTGTTAATTATATATAAATGAAGAAATATATACCTATGAAAACGTTACTTTATCTATAATAAATATAAGACAATGATATAGTTTATACATGATTTAAAATGTCAAATATCGATTCTTTTAGGCTCAGGAATTATATTTGATCATTTTCACTCAATTTTTTTTTACTAAATTTTAAAGTAAAAGTTACAGTCATAAATTATAAATTAAAGTTACAATTATAATCAAATATTACATGTATTAAATTATTGAATAATAAAACAAAAAAAAAACTAATCAATAAATTAAAATATAATTAGACAAATTTAATATAAAATTAAACTAAACCCAAGCATAATGGAATTTGAATCTAAATAAAAGAATGTAAAATCCCAGCTAAACGAATCTAAAATAAATATAGTCATGGAAACATCTTTTTTCCAATAAATAAAAAATCTATCGCTTTAATTTAAAAAATCCAAATGTATCTATTGGCTGTTAATGTTTAAATTTAAAATAGAAACTAACTAAAGAAATTTCACCATTCATTGTTTATCATTTCCTTAAATAATATAATTAAGGTTACCATTAATAATTCTACAAATCTTGTTCTGATTTTCTGTTGAAAATATATCCAAATTTCATTGGTAAATGAAGCATTTTAATGAAAAAAATATTTACTAAAAATGTTATTTTTCGTTGTTAAAAGGTTATTTTCATGGAATCACAACAAGGTCATATTTAATTAGCACATTGCGACTATTTTTTTTTTTTCTAATTCATAACCCAAATTGTCATTCAATCTACAACATTAATTCATGCTTTCAAAGTGGAATTTATTCCTAAATCCTAAATTAATAAGTTTGTAAATCTTATCTCTCCCATTTTTTTCTTTATTTGATTCTATGTACAGGTACCACTGACATCATATGCACTAATAAATTGAAAGTTGAAACTAAGAAAGAATATTTTTATGCTTATTATAAAATTATTGTATTATACTCTTTTATAGTAGTGTATCCGTAGAAACCATCATAATAAATTAATAACTTCCATATTGGGTCGGTAGGGTAAGTCGCGGACCTTACTCTTTCCCATTATCGACGTCATCAATAATCAAACACTGCAAGAGAAAAAATATACTATCTTAATTATTGCTAATCATACTTTTGTGGTACTATGTTTTTAAATGTTTTAGAGAGGAAAAATGAATTAGACCTAAAAAATGAAAAAAGAAATGATCTATAAAAGAAAATCATTATAATAAGATTTATTGAAATAAAATTATAAAATTTTAACTTTAAATTTTAAACATTTGAAAACATATTTTTATAAAATTTAAATTAATATAATATTTTTAAAAAATAAAGATTAAAGTTAAATCCTTAAACATAGATAAACAAAATGAGACAGAGGAGAAAATTAATAATAGATAAGAAGGCATAAGTTTACAAGTAGATGTAATTGTTTGCTTAATATATTGCTTGATACGAATGACGTAAAAAATATTAATCTAATAATTAAAATAAAAAACATGTATGAAAGCAATTATGAAACCTGATAATTAGATTAAAATTTTTTTCTTTTTTTATCTCTTCATTTTTGTGGCGAGCAAAACCTAAAAAATCCATTTTGCAGAAAAATTAAAACTTGCAATAATGCCAAAGTGTATAAAAAGAGTACCCAAAAAAGATAATAAAAGGATTACCATATTGGTATAGGGATGGATTCCAATGTTGATACATTATTTACCATTATTAATTACTAAGAGTGAAATGTAATGTACATGTCATGTCTTCGACCATATATATATATATATTATAGACATTTTTCGATCATGACCCCTTTAGAGAAACCGAAAAGCAAAAGAAAATTGGTTTTTCAAATGCCCTAACAATCATAATCCTGCATTTAATTATTACAAAAGAAAATGACTATAATACAATTCCAATCCTGTGCCTTGTGAGGATCGTGTCACGTTTTGCGGGCCTAACCCTCCTGACAAGTATGGGTTCTCAGGGAACACCATGTCAAGCCTATTGGGCTTGAATTGGACTGTCAAATAAACAGCCCATTGCTATCGGTGTAATGTAACCAAGCCCCAGAACAACGCCCATTTTAGCAATCAGCAAGAACGTCCGAAAAATTGCGAGGCGTTGAAAGTTCGGTTAACAAAGAAGCAGCGCTCGCTAGCTCCATTGGATCCTGGATCCTGGTTCCTCGTTGTGCAACGATGCAAGGAGGATCTTCTGGCATCGGCTACGGTCTCAAATATCAGGTCGACCATAAAAATCTCGATACCCACTAACTTTAGTCCTCTCAGAGTCGAAGTCCTAAGCCTTAACTTTTTTTATGTTCGCAGGCAAGATGTATATCGGATGTCAAAGCGGACACGGATCACACCAGCTTCATTACGGGAACCCTCAGTCTCCGGGAAGAAAATGAGGTTTTCCGCGTGAATGAATCTGGTTTAATTTCATGATTACAGTTCTTAATTTTATCATCTTAGCTAATTGAACTAAAATCTGCTAGGTACATCTGATTCGGCTATCTTCTGGTGGAACCGAGCTCATTTGCGAGGGCTTGTTTTCACATCCTAACGAGATCTGGGACCTATCTTCCTGCCCCTTCGATCAACGGATTTTCTCTACCGTTTTTTCTACGGGTAGATTATTGATCTTGATTTACGTGTATTTCTTGCATGTTTTAGTTTTGTGTGTTGATTTTTGTTCAATGGGGATGCTAGTGGACTTGATCTTGGTAACATTTGACTAGCTTAGTCGACCGTTTTTGTCTGCCTCCCATAGTTCATTGGTTTTGGTGACTTTACCACTCAAAATTGAGAAAAGGAAAATAGATCCTTATTGATTTGTTGTGGTTGTCAGGCGTTCTGATTTTTAGGTTATGCCATTTGAGTAACCTTGATAGTTCTTTGCCGTCTATATTAGCTTTAGATACTACCATTTGAATTACTTTTGGCGGTAATTGGTCTTTAGCAATAGCATTGTCCTGTATAAAGTTCGGTGGCTTAAAGATGGAGAGTGCTTTAATAGTTTTCTTTGTTGTTGAAGGTGAATCTTATGGGGCTGCAATATGGCAGATTCCTGAGTTATATGGGCAGTTAAATTCACCCCAGTTGGAACGAATTGCCTCCCTTGATGCACATGTTGGTAAGATTAATTGGTGAGTTTCTGTTTCTAAACTTCCCCTAAGTTATTAAAACTATATGTTCTTTGCATTTTCTAAAAGGCATTTTGGTAAATCTTATTTTGGCTTACTTGCTATGTCTGTATGCAAACAACAGTGTTCTCTGGTGGCCATCTGGAAGACATGATAAGTTGATCAGCATTGATGATGAAAATCTTTTCTTATGGAGTTTAGATTGTTCAAAAAAGGCTGCCCAGGTTAGTTTATGCATGCATTCTCTTGTTCTTAAAATCAATGATTATTGTAGTAGTATGTGATGACCAACCTGTAGGTTTTACATCTATGAAGGTAATACGTCATTACTAGAATACCTTATTCAAAGACACCATAGATACAAATTTGCAATTGGTAGCATTAGTTACTCACTTTGCCCTTTTCATTTCCTCTTAATATATTCAATATAGCGATAGATGTTAATCTTTTTTTGGCAATTTGTGACTTTGCATCTATCTTAGACGCCATGTTTTTCATCAGAGTTGTTCGTTACATATCAATGGCAGTTATTATAAACCAAAATTTTCTGAATATGTATGTATAGTATAATTTTTATTTCTCTTTCTGATGCTTATTCAGATATTACTGTGGAAATGTAGGTCCAATCTAAGGAGTCATCTGGCATGCTTCATTACTTATCTGGTGGTGCATGGGATCCACATGACGTAAATGCTGTTGCAGCAACTTGTGAATCATCCGTCCAGTTTTGGGATCTACGTACAATGAAGTATGTTGTCTCTGTGTCTCTTTGTTTCTTTTTTAGTTAATAACTCTATAATCACAATAGCCGGTGGACGTGTAATCTGGTGTTCTTTTTCCCTCCTGATTTGTACTCCTCCTGCTAAAAGGCATGGGCTCGAGCTAAAGAGTTGTTATTTCATCACCTGTCTTCCACTAACCAAAAAAAGGAGGGCAAGGGAGGAGGAATGTTGTAACTTGTACCTTTAACCATTGAATTTTTTGTGTGTAACGTTGATATAGTTTTTCAATTTTGCTTAGACTTATGCTGTGGCTGACAACAATTTTATATATTCATAGGAAGACAAGTGCAATTGAGCGTGCCCATATCCGCAATGCTAACTATGATATGAAGAAAAAGCATATACTTGTAAGGATATAGTTTGCATATTTTACTAGTTTAACATTACCTTAAAATTTTAGTGGTCTTTATTGCATTATATGCTTTTCTACTAGCATTTTTTGTGAATTTTGTTCCAACATTGATTTTTACAAATGCTTTATTTAGGGACGAACAGGCATGTTAAATTGCTTTTTCTATCAAAAGAAACTTTCTTATTTGTATAACCATGAGAATCCAAGATCTTCCAACTGTTATGCCTAGATAATTTATCAATTCTGTATCCCTCTTTACATGTACTAATTTTTCACAGTTGTGTGGGCATTTCACAGAGTGAAGTCAATCTTTTGCATTTGTCAATCATAAGAGACATTCACTTATAACTAATAGTTGCTGAAATCAGTAAAAGAATGACCAATTTATAGAAATGGTGACTGTGATTTGTGAATTTACCAATTTAAGTGAGAAGGTATTTCTGCTGGTTACTACTGAGTTATGATTGTCACTTTTATCACAGGTCACTGCAGAAGATGAATCTGGGATACACATATGGGACCTTAGAAAGCCCAAAATTCCTGTCAAAGAGCTTCCTGGACATACGCACTGGTAATTGACTTGTCTACTTTTGTGGCTCATTTTGCCTGATGTCTTTTTTATGTTTGATGAAATCTACTCCTTTATCATAGAAACTGAATTCTTTTATTTTTCCACTTAATTGATTTATTGTTAATTTCCCACATTTTAGTTTATATCTTGAACTGTTTCTGTCCCTCAAAAACGAAGTAGGAGTATTTAAGTTCAGGTATTTTTAGTACACTGATTGTGACCTGTTTAATAATGTTGGCAGGACATGGGCTGTCACGTGCAACCCGGAGTATGATGGGCTAATTCTGGTTCTCTCTCTCTCATTGTGTGTGTGTTTGAAACTGATTGGATCTGAGCATTCATCTTAACTAGGTTCCTTTTTAGGTATAGGTTTTAGGGCCTTGGTTAGACTAAACTGGTTACAAATATTCATCTGAGTCAACCATGCATATCTTTCAATTTAAATGTCATCATCTCTCTGCATAATGGTCACTCTATAAGAAACCGCAAATTGTTCTTTCTGTTATATTTTGAAAATTTCTTGACAAGAGTCCTTTCTGCAGAGCGCTGGCACAGACTCAACTGTTAACTTGTGGCTGGCTCCTATATCTGCTGGAGATGAACCAAACTCTGAAGGGTTGTTTATTATCCTTAATCTGAAGTTTTGCTACGGCATCCTCTTTTATTCGCTGATCCTACTCTGATACTTTGTCCTTTATGTTTGTTTTAACAGCATAGCTGAATCACCAACTCAGCAGGCTGACCCATTACTTAATTCCTACAGTGATTATGAAGACAGTGTATATGGTAATTAGTGCTATGGCTACCTCTGTTTTTCACAATGCTATTAATATTAATCTAACAAGGTTTTAACCATATTGCCAGGCCTTGCTTGGAGTTCTCGTGAGCCATGGATATTTGCTTCACTATCCTATGATGGCAGGGTAAGCCTCTACAAGTCTGAGAGCTAGTAGCCATGAAGGTGGTTGTAAAATCAATTTGATTTTTGGTGTTCATTTAATACAGGTAGTCGTAGAATCAATTAAGCCTTTCCTTTCAAGAAAATGAAGGTTATTTGCTGTCCTTGTTCTCTGAGAATTTCTGTTCCGGAAAGTTTCCAATTATCAACGGCAGTGCTCAAAGAGTTGAACCCAAATATTTAGGTAACTTACAGCTTGAATACAATGATACAGCTTGAATGAAGAAGGGTTGCACGTAAATGAAGTGTTTGGAGGGCTGTTGACCTGAGACTCGTGTTTCATAACTTTTGCAGCCTGTGTATTCTTGATTAGCGTTCACACCGAGTATAGTTGCTTATTACTACCATTTTTCCATGAAAATTGAACGGTGATTTTGTTGTTCTCTTGTGTTTATTACAGCAGTTCCTTTAAAATATCTAATGAAGAAGTTTCAAAATTGAACCCTTAAGCAGCACCTAGCCGTCTGCTCTGTTCATAGACTAGTTCTTTGCACAACTAATAAAAGATTCTACTCTCATAGTTTCCAATTCTGTTGTATCAGGTTAAAGTAAAACATTGACCGGATAAAAACTTGGATGATTTCTTTGTATGTTAGTGGAAGGTTAGCCATAATTAGACAACATGAAGATCGTGATCTGGAGTTCACGGTGGGGAATAATCACCCAGGTGATACCGAGGACGGAACCCAGTTTTTGAGTCTGAAAATATTGAACTTGTGATTGTAATTTGCTGAATTGAGACGGAGAAGCTGATGCAAACACGAAAAGCAAGCCTCGGATAACGACACGGACGACGAGTAATATGCAAGGTTTGTGCCCTACGCAAAGCTTAAAGCGCGAGGAAAAACATTGGCAAAAAGCGAGTCATTGAAAGGAATCGGTCGACAAAAGTACAAGGCCATAATCCACAAATTAGATTTGTTATAGTACACGGCATCTACTACTCTTGAAGCAACATGACACTTATCCAAGCGCACAGGCAATTGGTTTGTTTTCCTCAGTCAGAGGCAAGGTGTTTTGTTCTTTTTGACACGTGGCCGTTTCCGTCACCATGAAGGCATGAAAGGCCTGCCACGTTTAGCAGGACACGCAAGCTCCACGTTTTCAGCTTATCCGCAATTTAATCTCATGGTCAACAGGTGCCTTGCCATGTCATCAAAGAGTGTTGTGCTGACACGTGGTGAAAGCTAGTGGGAGAAAAGAGTACGCGCCATGGAAACCACTTCAATTTCTCCTCTTAGTTCTTGCTTGGATTTGCATGTCAATTTTCAATCAAAAGGTCATTTCATTTGCTTTTCAAATCTGAAACCCTCGTTTCAGAGACTGCCAACAGCCCGATTATCCGCGGCAGAGATTCATTAGCCAAAAATCCGGAAATTTTGTTTGGATGAAATTTCTTCTCAGAGCAGGCCGTAAAGCTGATCATGTATCTGTATAAATTTGCTACCCCACCACTGCAACCTTGTGACTGCATTTTTCACATGGCAACGGAGGAAGTTTAAGAAAATATTGATTTTGCATCATCCTTTTTTAATTATATTTTATTAAAAATAACTACGGTTTATTAATTGCGTTAGTCCGAAGAAATTTTACTTATCCCAACTGTTAAAGATAATAAAAGTTGAATGGAGATGTTAAAGATAAAAGATGTTGGCGTTTGTTGAGGACTTTTTAATTTTTTGTGTCAACAAATGCTCCTCTTCGAGAGTTCAGATTCGTAGATAATTAGATGTTACTATATAGTATCTAATAGCAACGGATTATTCAGCAAATCATTGTAAATTTTTATGTAAATATCATTTTATTCATAAACTATAAAGGTAATTCTCTAATTATTAAGTATAATAATAAATTAATAATCAGCTTAATAAAGTGCGTCAAATATGTGCCGTTAATTGATATGTAATGTAAAGAATGACCGTTCAAATAAAAAAAAGATCAACAAATTAATTTTAAAAATTTAAAAATCAAAATGATATTTGCCTCAAAAGAGGTTGTAATTTGCTTTTATCAATATTATTTTGAGATTTTCTTTCTAATTTTCTTTAATATTTTCTTTTTCTGTTCCTGAAAAAAGTCCCTTTAAAAATCACAAAATCAAGAAAAAGAAGAAAGAGACGGCTTACGTGTACGATTAAATCCCCGGATTCGCATTGCCACTCTCAGGGCTGCAGAGCCACAACCGATCTGATCTCACGCTCTCTCTCCTGTCTTGTCACACACTACGTTCTGTTTAAAGTCCTCTCACCGTCAAAATGTCTTCCCAACGCATAGATTCTCCCGAAAATCTCTCCATCATTCTCATTGGCCTCCCCTTCCTCTCTAATTCTGTTTCCTAAAATCCCCCTTCACATAGCACTTAACCTCTCCCACTCCCCCCAAACACGCTCGTCATTATCTCCTTTTCTAAAATTTGCTCTTATTCCTCTAGGGTTTTTTTTTTTTTTTTAACTTGTTGATGGCATTTTCTTAATCGATGGCGGCGAGTTCCGGAGGTTTCGCGACTCAGCTCGAGTTCAAGCTCTTCACGCTCCATGTCTACCATGGATTGGCACCGAGTAAAAGAATTCTGTGTGATCGACTCACTATGTTGAGTCGAGTCAGTTGCTGCTGCTCCGACTCGGTGGTACAGATCCGGAGAGCCAGCGGCTCAGGCAAGAGCAATGAGAAGACGGAGGACTGGCGGTTCGACTCCAAGAAAAGCCCTCACAGGGTGCGAGTCCAGGCCTCTCCTGCAATGCCGTTTACTTCGGCTCAGTACGTCACATTTTGAGCCTTCTGCTCCGTTTTTATAAATCTGTCTAGGAATTGTGTATGCATATCCTATATCTATACCCATATTGTTCGTTAAAGTGAATAATGGTATTCTGAATTTGTTATTTATATCTTTCTTTGTTTCTTTTTTAGTTATAACGAGACAACATTATAAGTAACTTGCTAAGTTAGGTATTTCATTTTGAGAACAGGATGTTGAAATTTTTTGATTTCAATCTCTGAAGTTAATCTGCTTGTTCCTTTTTATTGTGAATTTTACGTCTCAAAGCCTGTTGCTAGTAATTTCTTTTTTTTTGGTTGAATTTTGATGCAAGAACTTAAAATGTTGTGTTCACTACCAAAGCTTGTAATGTAATGTAATGTTGATTTCATGTTATGAATGTTTCAGATCTCGATTTCCTTCCAAACAAGAAAAGTTCTACCCTCGGTGCACTTCCAGAAATTCTGGTCCTCAGCCTCGTGATACTCCACCAAAAAGAGGTAACAAGCAATGCTCATTAAACTGTAGAATTTGGTTATGAAAGTTTCGCTGTGCTTGTATTTCTATCTTTAGGATTTGTAATGGCATTTAGATTATCATGACTAGTAAAGGATACTGTTTTTAACTGGCTTCTTCGTTGTAGACACTGGTATTGCAAATGAGAAGGACTGGGACATTAGCTTGTTAAATGAGAATGTTAATGAGTCTGGTACAAATGAAGATGGCAGTATGTGGTATCGGGAAAGTGGGGAGGACCTTGGTGAAAATGGATACCGGTGTAGATGGACGAGGATGGGTGGTAAATCCCATGATGGTTCCTCTGAATGGAAGGAAACGGTACAAAACTATTTTTATTACATGACATTTGGATGTGTGTTTTGTTGATCTTGAAGTGGCAATTCAGAAGCAATTCCTTTGTTCTTTCAATATGATTGTCTGTGACCGTAGCTTAAGCCGTACACGTACTTGTTTGCCACCATGGTTGTTCTAGAAAATATGGGAATATCATGAACAATGCCCATCTTAAACGTTCAAATATTGTCAACAAAAAAAAAAAAAAAAGAAGCCCTACAAATCAAGCGTTTGAAGAGCTCATTCTTGGGAGAAACTTCTGTCTGTTTTGGCCTGGAAGAGATTTCTAAGAGGCCATAAAATCTCAAAGTTCTGCATGTTGAATGAGAAATTTGTTACTTTGCCAGCTTGCAGATTGTTATCCTTACATAACATTTATTTCTGTATTCAAATTGGTCAATAAATTCAGTGGCATTATTTAAAGTATATGTTTGTTATTATTATAATATAAAAGAAATAACTGAAATTCTGTTAGACATATTCTTAAGTGCTTTGAACAAAGATAGATTGATCAGCCAACTTTTGGAATGCCCTCTCTCTTTCTTATTGGTTATTTTGGGAGTGTCGTGCCAAGGTTTTGGGATAGTGAATAATCCTTTCTCTGAGCTTATGTAACTGATAAAGATTAAGGGGAGTGAAGTTTGAGAGATCTAAGCTCCCAATAGGAGTTAATGGTAGGTAAATTGAGGAAGAAAAGATTATTTGCTCAAAGATTTTGAGAATGGCATCTCAAAACTATTAACAAACTGTTACAATATTTCTAAATTTTGTTACTTAACATTGTTTTTATAACCCCATTAAGTATCATCCCAGGTGGATGCATTTAATTGGATTTATTGATCTCCTTGACAGTGGTGGGAGAAAAGTGACTGGAGTGGATACAAAGAGCTAGGTACTTTTACGTACCTCTTCTTTGCTTAATTCTGTGAACTAATTGTGGTGATTTCAAATTTTATTTCTTGCATATTATACTATTTGACTATAAAATCATCCAAGCATAAATTTGCCCATTTGTCTTGTTATCAAATGCCTGAGAAATATTGGTCCACAGATTCCAGCTATAGTAATTTCCTAACATTTAGTAGAGTTTATATATCATAGGTGTTGAGAAATCAGGAAGAAATGCTGAAGGAGACTCATGGTGGGAAACATGGCAAGAAGTGCTTCATCAAGATGAATGGAGGTCTTTATTTCTACATCATTCACCTTTATCAGGAAACACTTTAACTTTATATCCATGAATTATCATATAGAGACGAATAGGATATTTCTAGTTTACCATGCATGCAATTTTTAATCGATACAATCATCAAAACATTTTTAAAACTGCAGTAATTTAGCAAGGATAGAGAGGAGTGCTCAGAAGCAAGCAAAATCAGGCACTGAAAATGCTGGTTGGTATGAGAAATGGTGAGTTATATTCCAATGGATGATATTCATGATATTATATTTCATTCACATTATGTTTGCTGAGCAATGGCAAAATATCTACTTTATATTGATGATAAACTTATTTTGGTAGGTGGGAGAACTATGATGCTAAAGGCTGGACAGAAAAAGGGGCACATAAGTATGGTAGACTGAATGAACAGTCATGGTGGGAGAAGTGGGGAGAGCATTATGATGGAGGTGGATCTGTTCTTAAATGGTAATTTTCTATTAGCCTTTATGCACCACCACTTAGTGTACCAGTAGACTACTGGATTTTGTACCATTAGTGGTTTGAGTTTTTAATCTTTTGCAACAATTTGCTATCTTCAGATGGTAATATGACAGAAACCATATCATGCCTTGTTTTATCCAGAAAGATTGAGATATGATAGGCTTTTTTATCTTCATATTTTCCTATTTGGTCAGGCCTTCTCACCTCATGCACTTTCCTATGGTTATATTAAAATTTCTTCTTTGATAATATGCAGGACAGATAAATGGGCTGAGACTGAATTGGGAACTAAATGGGGAGATAAGTGGGAAGAGAAGTTCTTTGCTGGCATAGGTGCACGTCAAGGGGAGACATGGCATGTATCTCCAAGTAGCGAACGTATGTATAGTCATTTCATTCCATCTGCATGTGATGCATAATTTTTCACAATGTTGATTGCTTTCAAATTTGGTTGTACATGATAATCATTCTGTCAGATTAATATCCTGTTTGGCAGCAATCAGTGTTCATGTTTTTCATTTTGTTGGTACCTTGGACAAGTAATCATATCGATTATCCTTATTGGCTCATACCTTGGTGTACGCTTGTTTCCTACTCCTTGAGCAAAAATTAGTGTATTTCTCTAAACTTTTGCACTTAGCACAACCAGAACAGGTGTGGGGCAGAGAACTGTGAAAGATCTTGTCAGTTTGCACAATGGAATGTTGTTGAACATTCCTTAAGTCATCTGAATCGAAACTTTCAACAACAAAAGTAAAAGACACAATTACAATGGATTAGTTTATAAATTTTGTGCCAAGGAATTTTGTGAAGACAATTTAGTTTTCCGATGTAACCAATGTTCATCCTCGGATAGAGAAACCTGAAATTTTTGTGTTGGTATTTAACATCTAAGGCTGTCCTTTTGTCTGATTAGTGGGAAGTAAAGGCTGGTTAGTTGAATATTGTTCCCTTTCGCAGCATTGACAATGTTCTGTAGAATTTATTACTCTTATCACAGCTACTTAGAAGCTAGGCTTCATTGGTCATCATTATCATTCCCAAATCCCAATAAAGGATTTGTAGCTGTATGAACTCTTTTTGGGGACTCCGGATAGATGTGACCTAAGGTATATGTTGCCTAAGGTTCCACTATAGGGTCAAATCTTTGAGACATTTGCTTTTAATGTTGCTCGTCCAATTTATCTTATTTTTGTAACTAAAATTTTCTTGGTCTCATCATAGGTTGGTCAAGAACATGGGGTGAGGAGCATTTCGGGAATGGGTATGGAACAGTTTTTGAAACCCTTCAACAAACTCTTATTCATTTTAGCTATAATTTCCACGTTTTTACTTCACATTTTCTTATACTGAACTGCTTCCTGATTAATAATGGGACCGCACATTTTATCATGTATTTCCATCTGATGCCATTGTACACTAGAGAGGCTAATTCCTTTCGTCTCCTAAACAGGAAAGTACACAAATATGGGAAGAGCACAAGTGGTGAAAGCTGGGATATAGTTGTTGATGAGGAGACGTATTACGAGTAAGAGCATTTGCTTTTTGCTTAGTTAGAACAGTTGTAAATGGCAGATGCTGTGTGTAAATGTGAGAATAAAAGTTTAAGTGTAAGATTATCAAGTAATTTGCGACATATAAGTGACATGTTTTGAACTTTTATGGAAGGGCTGAACCTCATTATGGATGGGCGGATGTGGTGGGCGACTCAAGCCAGTTGCTAACGATCCAACCTCGGGAGAGGCCGCCTGGTGTTTGCCCAAACCTTGATTTTGGGTCCTCACAACGTCAAGATGATGATGAACCTGACGTTCCTCCCAGCTCACAATGAGGAGACCGTATCTTTTTGTCCCCATTTTTTGTTGTAGGTGGTTTAAATCAATTTATCTTAATCATATATTGGTTGGAATTTGTGTAACGGAACATTTTGCATTACTGCTGTTCGATTTATTCGTTCTTTTCAGTGCGTGGCGATTGTGCCGAGATAAATCTTTTTTTTTTAAAATGCCGGAGGGATATATTTTACATTCAAAGAGTAATCATCTTAAAAATGTTGCTTTGTTAAGGGGTTGTAATAAAGTATGTTAAGGAAAATTAGGTTGGATTTGACAAAAAATATTGGCTGGTGTCAGTGTAAGCGAAGGTGCCACGTGTATATTTAACAATATTGGGCTTCCAAGAATTTTACGGAATCTGTTATTCAGGACTTCAACCACATGGGTCGACTACGGGCCTTGGACATTGGGGGGTACATTGAAGTCCATGGATATCTATAATTAGTATCATGGGCACATAGATATCCATGGGCCATTGACCCAACATAGGCCCATGATACCTACGATTCGGGTTCAATAGAAGCCCATAAAGACATTCACTGAAATTATATTTGGGCATCGTTTGGGTCAAAGTTGGGCTCGATCTAGGCCTTAGTATGTCGATAATCGCTCTAGAGAACTTTTAAGAGAACGTTTGTCAATTTGTGCCTCATGTTTTTTGGCCCAACTAGTGCATTAATGGGTCAATATTTAGTGGAAACTTAAGCCCATCTGGGTCAACGTGGGTTTAATTCTGCGCCCAAGATTAAGCTTCATGATAACAAAGTTGGGCCTAAGTTTCAAAGTTTCATCTAAACTTGGACCTTTGGTCATAATTGGACCCAAAATTGTGACTTAGTTAAAATTTGGGCAAAGCTAGCTTTTTGGGTAGCCTCATATTGGGGCCCTAACTAGTTCATTAATGGGTCCATGTTTGGTGGAAACTTAAGCAATTTTGGGTCACCTGGGCTTAATTGTAAAAAATTGGGCCATAGTTGGGTCTGTGTCTAAAAGTGAGCTTAATTTTAGGCCCATGTTTGGGCTTCATTGTGGCGAAGTTGATCCCTTGGTTGGGCCTAAGTTTTAACGTTGCATCTAAGTTTGGGCCTGAGGACATAATTTTACCCCTATGGGACTTAAAGTTGGCCGCGGTTAGGTTTTTGGGTTGCCTCTTGTATTTGGGCCCAAACTAGTGCCATTTGGTAAAAAGTTAAGCCCTTCTAAGTTAGCTTGGGCACAATTTTGGACTAATATTTGGGCTTCTTTGTAAATAAATTGGCCTCGTAGTAGGGCTTCTGTTTAAAAGTTTCACTCAATTGGGCCCTGGGTCGTAATTGGACCCCAAATTGTGACTGTAAAGTTGGGCTATCTAGCTTTTGGGTTGTGGGGCCTACAAAAGCCTAATTTGCATATCCCCATATCCAAACTAGGAGCCCAAACTGTACATCTCCTTAGCCCAACTAGGATCCCAAACAGCCTATCGCCTTAGCCCAATAATTAATTCTTACAAAGTTACTAACGAGTATTGGGCCCAAACTTTAATGCCCAAAATTGTGACACTCAACCTGTATTTGTCCCTAACAATGTATTTCAACTAATGGAAATGAGCCGAACGATAATCTCAAAAAACAATATTTGTTTATATTGTTTATACACTAAAATATTGTTAAATAAATAATAAAATGCATAATTTGTATGATAAATTAATTATAAAATACATGTTTAAATAATAATTAATAAGTCAAGAAATAAAATGGTTACCCAACCAATAACGAAGCAGCAGTTCACGATTGTGGGCCTTCCCGACACGCACAGAAAATAGACAAAAGCAACCTATGAATTCGGTTACAGCCGTCGCCCCCCTTCTTATATCAGTTGGCTCATAATGATACTCTACTACATACAGAACTAAGATGATATTTACATCAGCTTTGCTCAACTAAATAATGGACCTAAAGCACTAAATGGATGATCTCTGTAAGATAAATAAACAAAAAACCCAAAACCGGAAAAATAAATATGGAAGAAGAAAAGAAAAACAAATCACTTGAACCTGCCTAGGTAAATTATGTTGAGGCTCAAGATCAATTTCTTCTTGCCAACTCAAAATCAGTGGAAATTGTGGTCAGTTCAGTTAAACCTTTGGAAAAACAAATGCCTCTCTTCCATAATTCATATGTTTATACTTTGGAACCTTGTTCTGCAACATCATCTGAACAGGAATACGTTCCATGCCGTCCATCATAAGCCTCATTAGAAGTTGAATGATCCTGGATCTAAAACTCAAGCAAAAAACAACTGTTGAGAATTTCAGGGGTTTAATAGACAGGATGACTATCACCAATAAAACTACGAATGCCTTAATGGAGCGAAGGAGAGGGCAAGTAATGTCAAGAATGAATTTGTGAGGTTCATCCAACTCATTCTATTCAGTCTGAAAGCATCACTTCCAACTCAGGTTCATCAGAGATGACTGCATCATAATCCAAACCAGTTACATTATAAAGGCGCTTCTCTTGAGGCCCACTTTGATCCTCACCATCATCCAGATCAGGCCATTCTGGCTCATCATTATAAACGTAATCATTCTGATCATGACTTAACATAACATCTTTTCTTGATGAATCATCCAATTTCCCATGTTTCCTGTGTCTTGAATCTGCCTTCGCCTTTTCCCTTGCCTCTGAATCTTCACATATACAGGTGGATGGATTCTCATGAAACTCACCCCTCCCTGGCCTGACCTCCTTTGGCTCCCCCATAAAGGCTCTCTGAAAAGTACGAACTCTAGAGGCAAATTCTTCCCATGTCATGTTGCTTCTGCTCAAGAACAACCTATATAGTTTTTTAGCATTTGGTCGAATAGTGGGTTTATGTCCAAAATATTTCCTGCAATAACACAAACAAGGGAAAAAGTTAGCCAGCAGTTATAGTTATGGAATGAAAGGATTGAAAGCAGGACTTGTTTACCTTCTTCCAGCTAACATTCTAGCCATGTTACCATTGTTGTTGGTGACAAACACATCACTCTCATTGCAAACAATAAAGTCAAGTGCAGCCATTCGAGAAGAGAATGAGGAAAATGGCTCTAATTCTTCCTTTGTGGCAATGGTATCTTTTGAATAGAAGTTTGGGAAGAGTGCTTTTAGGGGTCTCAAAGTTTCCTCCCCTCCATACACTTCACCAGATGCCACATAGATATGAACCTCACTGCCATATCCTAGAGCTCTCAGCATCAGACCAACTTCCTCTGGGGTAAGTGGGCATTTTCCTTGCCTCCTTTGCTTATCAGGATTGTTTTTCTGCAAACCAGTGAACAGATGCCATACAGCATATGCATTAGATCTGTGGTCGGAGCTGAATGATGGGAGTCAATTTAATACAAATTGGAGAAAATTAAAGGACTGCAGTTTCTGTACTCAAAATAGCAGTCACTTAAGAGTTTCCTATGCATCTCTTTTACCCTCTCCTGTTCTTTATAAAATATTCACCCGACTGTACTTCAGCCTTCTATAATGTTTCCACATCATGCAAATGGAAAAAACTGCACGTGTTTTTTTTTTTCCTTTTCTATGGTGGGAGTCAATGATATTTATAAACTGAAAAATAATGTTGGGCAATCATAACAGTGGAAAACAAATTTACTCTCCAAATTGCAAGTTCTGTGCCTGTAAAAAAAAAAAAGAATCAGGATGCAGAAAATTATGAAAGTATGACATTTGAGCCTTACATGTAAAGTCTTCCACCTCTTTCGTATCGCACCTAGTTCATTCCTTTCCTTTTCACCTCCACCATAATCACATCCTGAGAATGCAAGCATATCAGGTTCAAACCTGTCACAAAAATGTTTGGCAGCATCAATAATCTCATACCTGTCTTTTATTATTGAAAGGAAAAGCTATTGCTTGGATATAATGATGCATTGATTTACTGCTGTGCTGTATATGCACATATCTATCATGATGAATTTGGTGAAAGCCTATCTTTGGAAACATGCAAGACGGAAACGCATTTCGTTGTAACATCAGATAGTTGATCTTCCACTCAAACGGTCATGCTGCCATTTACCGAGTGTAAAGGAATTGGCGGGCTGTGCATAGTTACATAAATACATTCTTATGTCTGTATCATGCATGCAGGTTAAGCAGTTTCGAACCTTAAGGTATATAAAGTCCAGGTGTGCCTGTGCACACAGCTCTTGACATAAGTATGCAATAGCCAATAAGCATTATAGATATACAGGACCAAAGAAAAAGATACATGCCTCAAGTGCAATGCAATATAATGCTTGCTCCTCATCCTCATTCGATGAACAAGCAATTTTCCCATTTCTAAAATAGGGTCAGCGAACTTCAGAGCATGGTAGTTAACTCTGCATCTTAACTTCTGCAAATCAGTATCCAATTTGTTTGCAAGTCTGTAATCAAACTTGTTTAGCTGAACTGCATTCTTCAAATAACAATACCAGTGCCATTAGTGAAACCGACAGACAATAGATAGTTTTAAAGGACAATAGCAATATCACTCACCTTCATTTTAACATTAGCCATGGTTGAAATAAGAACAGGTTGTGACTCAAGATGAAATAAATGCCAACAGAAATATAGAAGCCATCCAATACAAAATCCAGGAAGAACACAAAATACTGAGGGGATGCGTTCAAACTTAAAAATTTTTCCAATAATCTTATTAGCAATATAAAAGTTCTGTATGTTAGTTCCCTATACACTTTATGTTTCCAATAATAACGAGACTTGTTCTAGAATAAAGGATCTACACATTCTCCACCTCTCTCTTTTGACTGGCCCAAAGCTCAAGTTTTATATGCCACCATAGGTATTCCCGTTAAGGAAAGGTTTGCTATTATGAGTGCAAAGGTTTCAATACATGGGTGATCTGTAAACTTTTCAGCTACCATTCTTTTTTTGCTACCATTATTTTTAATTACTCTCAAATTAGTCAGATCTTGATATTGACTGGAGGAAAACAGAAACAACTAAATTGTTATTTATAAATCTAATCTGACATATTGAAAGATGGACTGCTATTTAATAATGAAAGATGGACAGCTATTTAATAATTTATCAAAGTTCTATCCAGATCCAGGGAACCACCAAAACAACCTCTGTTTATTAGTATGCTTAGATTTCAGTAACATATTTGATGTCAACTTTTCTCCATGAGGATAAGAATAGGATGGAAAGAAAAGGGGCAGCTATTATAAACACAGGAAAAGCACAAGTAAATAAAATAATCCAAAAGTGGCCAGTGACCGGTTAAGGGCTACACATAAAATTGACCATGAAAAATTTTGAGAATAAGGAACTTACATGCCTTTTCAAAAGAACCGGCAATACACGATTTTGGTAACATCTTTCACTACACCTCCGTGGAACACGCATGGTGTATGGAGTCCAAGTCTTCCCTTTTCTTTTAGGCAGCTGCTTTACGATTTTAACATCTTTTGACAAAAATGATATGAACCAATCAATGTCAAAGATCTCTGAGAAGTTGCTGGACAACAAAAGTAGAAATTGTCACACAATATCTTGACAACTCAATTCATGCAGATTTTCTCTATTTAAATATGGATGGCTAAACAAAATTAAGAATTCAAATGGCAAAAATCTTTCATTCCATTACAAACCTGGAGTCCTTCCAAAAGGATTTTTGGTCCAGTTTTGGAACAACAAGAGTAGCATTCAGAATTCGAGCAGCAACAACAGCATCTGTAATCTGCCAAATGCATTGATAATAAGCTTGACCACAAAAAGTCATCAATATAGTGATAAACAATGATCCGAACATTGTGGTCATGAGACATGGATGGTAATTCGGTTAGCTTTAAGCATGGCAGTAGATCATCAACATTTCCTTCAGCTCGAATCGGCAGAAAACATACCCTGTGATTGTTATAGTTTTTGATTGAATCTCAGCCCATCACACTATATTCTCTTTAAATACCATATATTGCCAATCATTCAAGCAGCGACTTCATTATATTCATTCCATATTTATATGCTCACTTGCAATGGCAAATAAACTAGTACATAACTGCACACTGACCAATCAAGAAAATAATCAAGAGCATGTATTCTTGAGCTCTGCCACTGTAAATACTTAGCAAGAGAAAACATAAATCTTACTTGCAGGCTTGCATTTTCTCATAGTAATTATGAAATCCAACACAAATCAAGGCTGGAGGATACTACATAAAAAATCATTCCAGCAGACAAAATAACTGTAGTGGGAAGTAGAGTTACCCCAGTTCTTTGTTGGTTCAAGCCTCCGCTCGTGGCAATAGCCAGGTACCGATTGGGATGCCTAACAGCTTCAGCTTCTGTAATACAATCAATCCATTAATGCTTTTTGACCGCATTAGGGATTTGTGCAATTTTATAATTGTCGGAAATAGTTTAAAAAACCTAAACCATCTAAACCTTTCGTCATTATAACTAGATTTGAGGTTTCCCAAACCCATTTTCACGGAACCCAAAGTTTCAACATGAAAATGTACAATTAATCAATCAAATTGGAAGGGGAAAAAAAATGATGATACACACTAGCAAATTTGGCGGTGGCATTACTGCATCCATAAAAGAATTTAGCATTTCTTGAACTCCATATATCACGATCTAATTTTCCTCCACTACTCTGATTTTCAGAAACAATATCACAAATTAATCAACGGTTAGGATCCAATGAAACCTGAAACAAATCGCATAATGATATTAAAATTATAAAGAATAATACAAGTAAAGAAGGAACCCTAACTGGAATACGAAAAACAGAATCTCCATTGGTAACCGGATCATCAACGACTGCGTTAAACTAGACAAGGAAAAAAAAGATTAAATTATACGTAAACAAAATCACACATAAATTCAACACCAATTGAAAAAAAAATCATAAAGAGAGAGAGGGAGAGAAAAAAAATACGGAGGTCTGGTGGTGGCGGAGATGAAAATGTTCCGATTCGTTAGGAGAAGGAGCGAGAAAGGTAAGGATAGCGAAGAGGACTAGAAGAGCACCGGAGATGGCGGATATAACCATAACCAGAAACCGAAGGCGGTGGTAGTAAAGGTTGCGCCGCCGTGGCAAGGCCATGGCACCGATGCTTTCCACTCTCTTCCCAAGCAAAAACTGAAAGTGTTGAGAGAGAAAGAAACAGTGGTTGAGTCTAATTAATTAATAATAAGTATTAGTTTAGTTTCCCTGAGGGTATGCAATTAGGCGGACAAGGACAGGAGTGGTTGCAACATGAGATTCAATGAAGAAGCAAAAAATGAAATAACAAAAACCACCTCAAGACGAAAGGATACCCTGGTGGGAGAGAGTGTGCTGGTGAGCTGGCTTTCCTCAGCTTCAATTTTTTTTGCTAAGATTTTTCTTGTTTTATTTATGAGTAATTTTTCCAAAACCACCGTTACCATAAAAGAGAAAAAAAAAAACAATGGGATTCTTTCGAAATAGGAGCCACTTTGTTTGGGGGTTAGAAGGCAGGTGAATGTTATCGTCTCGTTAATCGGGATGGTAATCCGTTAAGTGGCAATAATAAGGGGCCAGGCCAATCAAGCCGAGACAGCTTCTTGTTGATTTATTACCAAGCAAGGATAAAACAAGCCGGAAATTTCTTGTTGACCAATTATTGCGGTCCAATAGTTTCTGGGCTTTTGGGCTCATTGGATTGTGGGTTTATATAAGTCTAAGAAAGGAGAATTTTTAAAAGCTGCTCTATATATTCAGACATTTGGGCTAATTGGGCTGCCCATGATTTGTTGTTTCGTCTTTCTCCTAAAACAATCTCATAAGCCGCCAATAAACAGTCAACGGTCGTTTGACTCATTTACAAATCATGATGAAGTTTAAAGCAATAGAGAAATCCTGACCCTTTCTTATTCCTACTTTCTACTTCCTATTAGTAGCATTAGCGATTGATAATCTGGATATGTTATCCTCTACGCGCTACTGCACACTCTTCGGGTGGAACCCAAACAACCAAGCAACAAACCCTCGCCTCTGGGAACTCTCGCACTAGAAAGCCTACCACTTCCACTTTTTCTTTACTTCAGACAGGTTAGTTAATGTCTGCACTGTAAAGAAAAAATAATCAAACTTTAAATAAGCCGGAGGCCTGGAGGTGAGATGAATTCCTTGACAGTGAAACTCTCTTCCTTTGTATTGCAATCTTCGACGATCCTCTCATCGTGTAAGCCTAGAAAATGTCTTCCTTCAGTTCGTTTCCCAAGAAAAATTAAAAGCAAGAGAAGATTGGGTTTGAGAATTGAAGCTTACGATTCTTCAAAAAGCAATGATTCTTCTAAGTCCAACGGTGATTCCAGGCCTCTTAATGGCACCCTGGTATTCTCTCTCTCTCTCTCATGTGTTTTCCTTGTCTGGATGTTTTACGCAAGTGTTTTTTAAGTCTCCTTTTTTATAAAGAAGAATCAACAGCCTAAAACCAGGAGAGATATTCTGTTGGAGTATGTGAAAAATGTGCAGCCCGAGTTCATGGAGTTGTTCGTGAAACGGGCACCGCAACAGGTTTCATTTTTCTTTTTTTTCCCTGTTTCCTCTGGATGCTAATTTCTTAGGCCCTGAAAATGAAATGAGATTGAAAATTGAAAGGGTACTTTCCTTTTTCTTTTTTGAGGTTGTTGAGGCAATGCGACAAACGGTTACAAATATGATTGGAACACTGCCCCCGCAATTTTTTGCGGTGACAGTCACCACAGTAAGTATATTATGCTCTTCGTTTTTATTTTGATTATTTGTTTTTAGTGTTATTGAACTCTACTCTTCTTGTGGGTTGAGACAATCATTGGGTTTTCTTTGATTTTCTCTAGGTTGCTGAAAATCTTGCACAACTCATGTACAGTGTTATGATGACTGGATATATGTTTAGGAATGCACAATACCGATTGGAATTGCAACAAAGTTTAGAGCAGGCTGCTCTTCCTGAGGTACAGGAAGAAAAGGTAAGCCTTTTTTCCCCATTTTCCTCTTGAAAGAAACCAAGATGGTAATTGTTGTCTGGAGAGGCTGCTGCAATTGCTTTGCTACTCATCCGTTCCCAATAAGTAGTGGCTCTCACAGTCACAGCTGCTCCATGGTGGTTTATTCTAGAACCATGTATAATGGAGCCTGTTCTGATGGGGAGAAATCTCACATTGATAGAGATGAGAAAGGGAACAGAATTTGATTGTTTGGTGTTTTTCGTATTGATGATGTAACTGCATGTCATTGGTGTCTAAACAGAACTTACCAATGGGAACTAATATCCCTTGTCTCTAAGTCATTGAATCTTATCTTGTTTTTTTTTTTGGCCAGCATTGAATCTTATTACTCTGCTGTGATTTGCTCCCTAGAGAGTTATTTTGTCCGGTTTGATGCTAGTGTAAGTTAATCTGAGGGCCACTAGATGTATAGCTTTGTCAAAGTAATCAACGATGCTAGACTTTCTTTTTTCCTTTTAAAACATTTGGTGTCAATTACTGAAGTTCTTTGATGTCCTGCACACTGCTCTGTAATTAGTGATCACCATGTTGACTAAACTCCTGTTTAATGACAACTGCATCTACATCAATAAAGGGCTTCATCTTTTCAGGATGTTCCAGATTATGCACCTGGTACACAAAAGAATGTATCTGGTGAAGTTATTAGGTGGAATAATGTTTCTGGCCCGGAGAAAATAGATGCTACAAAGTACATTGAGTTACTTGAAGCAGAGATTGAGGAACTAAATCGTCAAGTTGGTAGAAAATCTGCAAATGGACAAAATGAGCTATTAGAATATCTCAAGTCTCTTGAGCCACAAAATCTGAAGGTAACTAAAGCTATTTACATTAGTTTTTTCTTTATAATCTGATTGCTTTGGTTAGTTAACAGCTGATTTTGGAGTTTTTCTTGTATTACATGATTATGGGGAGAAGTTAATGAATACTTGTTGTATTACATTGTTCACTGCATAAATCTTAACTTGTTTGAAACTTGAAAGTGTCCTACAGTTAAAAATACTCGGGGAAAAGTGTACACTGAGGGGAGAATTAACTCTAGAAGTTTCTTTCAATGACTTCATTCTGGTTTCTTTCAACAGAGCCAAACCGAATAAATTCCCTCTCACTAGAATTACTGTAAAAGGAAGGATAGCCTCCTCATGACTGAATTATTATTGCTAGTTGCTTCTAATGAATTATAACTGCAGGGACTCACAATTACGTGTTTTGTAGGAGTTGACAAGTAGTGCTGGAGAGGATGTGGTGTTTGCAATGAACACATTCATTAAGCGTCTTTTAGCTGTTTCGGATGCTGAACAAATGAAGGTTAGCTTTATATTAGTTTTACTTTGTTTAATATACTTCTGGCATTATGGTTAAAGTGTTCATTCATATGAAGAAATCAGTTGGTTTGTCTTCTTCTTGGAGAATGAGAATTCGACTTTGTGATTCAGGGGATAAATGCACCATAATGTGGAACACATAAAATACTATAATTTCATTTGACATTTGAAAGAGTCATCCTTGAACTTTGATTTCCATGTTTTACAGGCAAGTGTAACCGAGACTAGTGCACCAGAACTTGCCAAGCTAATTTATTGGCTGATGGTGGTTGGATACAGCATTAGGAACATTGAAGTCCGTTTTGACATGGATAGAGTACTTGGCACTCCTCCAAAGCTTGCCGGGTTGCCTCCAGGAGAAAACATTTAGTTGCTGATGGATGATTTCAATTAAAAGCAATGGCGAAGTTTGAACACATTAATATGCTCTATTAAGTTGACAAGCAGAGGGTTAATCCAGGGTGATTAAGCGCTGGCATGCCATGAATGGTTGGCTTCTTATAATAGCCTAAATCTATTGATGAAACAGGCCTTTTCAAAAGGAATTCCAACTTTTAAATACAGCTAAGTTGAGGTTTTCGTCAAACACTGATGCAAATGGTTCTTCCAACGGTTTTAATGCCGATCTGTTACAATAAGTTAAAATATCAAATTCCTTACTGATTACTGTCTGGTTGTCAATCGCTAAGGTCATTCCCCTTTTCCTTTTTCACAGCTGCCATTGGAGACGTTATTTAACACCCTTTAATGGTCTTTACGATTTGCCAGCAATCAATGTTATCCATTACCTTGCAGGGTCTTCTGCTTCCTCCACTGATTGCTAGTAACTAGGGCCTCGTAGCCTGCCCCCAAAACATGGTTGCACAGTGTGAAGAATCTTTCTTAGCATCTTCTATTCGTTTATGCAGACTTCAACTCGAGCAAGCAAACTGCCAACCGGTTTGATATTTATAGTGGTCTTCTCATTACGGCCTTTTTGCATGTCCTACCGAGCTGGGACAGCTTTCTAATCTGCAAAGCCCGTATCATAAAACTCTTGGACAATTAATGCTTAAAAAAATTGAATCCGACTAAAAGGCATTTTAGCTGGCTACGCCCATAAGACAGCCCTGGTTGAATCATAATTAGTTGTCAGTCTTCTAGCCCATTGACTTTGATTAGGTGACCAAGAGATCGGAAACCCAAGTATAGCACACCATCTTAAATTCAAAAGTGCTGCAGCAAGATGTTCATCATGATCCTTAAAAACCCTGAGTATCCTTGACTCAGCTTCCAAGCCCTCAGAAAGTACAAAATCATCCTCAAATTCTCTCTTCTTTTCTTCCAGTGTGCTGTCTTCATCGGAGATCATCCACATACTCAAAACCTGCAATGCTTCCATGGCAGTATTGTGAAAACCGCGATCAACATATGTAGAAAATACAAGATGGCAGGTTGATGGGTCAGGCCGGACTTTGTCTTGTTGCATCCGCTCAACAATAAATTCAATTATGTCGATCCTTCCCTGACATTCATCGGTAAAAAATCCAGAACCAATGTTGATAACTTATACATCAATAAAAGCCCATAACATGACTAACAATGTTCAAGAGTAACTATATTTACCAACTGTATTCTCTGCACATAGTTGATATTATCACATATAAAGAAGGAAATTTTAATAAAGGAATCCTAGACACAGTAAACTTTGACACTTTCAACACAATCTTAAGGCACCTTTCACCTTCTGATGGCAATAACGGCATGTTCTCAATTCTTTAAAGAAATTCTGGCCAAAAACAGAAAATTCCTTCAATAAGGAATTTCAGTACTTCTTTGGGATGCAGTGACATCTACTGATGCCTGCATGCTAAGCATAAACAATTTCCTTGGTGTTAGTACCCAGAGTGTGTCGGGACATCCAACAGAAGCCAGCAGACAACTCTGGGTTGCAGTAACTTTGACAACACAGGAACTCATATCTTGAGTTTTCACTCATAAAATGCATTTGTCTATGGCATCTAGGGGGACAGAACCTGTAAAGTCCCACAAGAACACCAAGACATGACCCAATCAAAGAAAGGCAGGAGCTTCTTTAGAGTTTCTGATATTTACTAGGGCACCCTAAAGAAAAAGATGTAGAATCCCTTTTTCTCAATCGTCCAAATGCTGAAGGAAACATGCACAAACAGATAATAGAGAGAAAAGTAAATTCAGAAGCAAAACTTTACATATGTTACTTTTCTAATAACATGCATTTGCACAAAAGAGTAATGCCATATGTGCAGACAGACAGAGTGAAACCGGAAGGATACCTTTTCACTTGCTTTTTTAAGGATGGTATTATACAATAATACATCGAGTTGATACCCTTCTAAACTTGGCCGATCCAGAAGATTTAATGCTTCATCGAAATTTTCACAATCCAGCAAGATCTTCATAAAATGAACTCAAGTGTCAGACACTGAATTGCTACCAACTATATAACATGCGCTACCTTATTGCTTCCCTCTGCTACCCACAAAGAGGTATTTATATTCGAGATGCAAATATAATGTTTAGCTTTAGATGGATATAATCTCAGACGGGACAATCCTTTGCTCTGTTGTACATACTAAAAGTATATAGCAAGATGAGAGTTTCGGGTGTTAAAAAAGCAAATAATTATTGTTTTCTCATCTTCAAGAAAGCATCAGTTTCAGTTCTAAGGTTAAAATATGCAGGACAGCTAAAGACAAACTTATTAGTAAAGACTATTAGACTAAAATTGCATATTTTAGGATAGGATTCTGAAAATTAAAAGGGAAATATGAAAATGCACCAAAGCACTATGAAGCCAAGTTCTACAACTATTTTTGCATATACAGAAGAACATTTCCCATTATATGTCAGATAGAACTTATAATTTTTTTTTCTTTTTGCGGCCAAATAAAAAAAAGAACTTATAATTTTTAAATCCCTTCTTTTCTTGAAGGTTTGAATACTTAAAAATTAATAAAACAGGTTTGGGAGATAAGGTCAGGATAATAGCAAGCAAAAGTGAATTAGAGATATTTTGTGAATTTGGAATAAATTCTTACAAATTCCTATTTCTCTGCAATGTGCATACAATGATGGCAATTGCCACAGAAATGAATTTGACAGAAAAGGACTAGAGATAAAACAAGAATACCTTTATTAGAGCAGTATATGTCAGTGTGTCTGGATAAAACCCATCACGTATCATCATGGAAACTAGTGCACAAGCAGATTTGAAACATCTTATTGTGCTACAGTAATCAATCATTATACTGTATGTTGCAGCAGTTAGTTGGAAACCACATGATTTCATATTTTTAAAAATTTGTATCGCCATGTGACTCTGCACATAGAGGGAAGATATGATTTGGATGCAAACTCTAAATATAAACCCACAACTAATGAAACAGTAATTGCAAAAAGTAAACTACAGTGTTAGAAGCACTCACTTCATTAGCCCTAACAAGTGAATGCAGAACTATATTATAGATGGGTACTCCCAAATAAGTATTGGTATGGCAGAAAAGGTTCTCAGCAACATGTAAATATTGAAGCAGTTCTCTAGTCATCCCCTCAGCTCCAAGGGCTTTTAGCTGAAAAATTCCAGGCAAGTAACTCGTATATAAGATTGGTCATGGTCCAGGTGCAACAAAGAAAATACATGGCCAGGAAGTTTACCAACTTCTTCATTGATAAATGACTATGTTGAACACCATTTTTAGCCATATCCATTTCTATAGCATTTATCCTTTTTATTGAGTCAACTTGTGACAATATATTGCCTTCTTCATAGGGAGCATTCACATTACCAAACAATGAAAATAGTAGCTCATATGTCTTGATATCCGGCTGAAGCTTTATTTGTCTCATTTTAGTCAATATCCGAACAGCTCGCTCTGGCAGATCCTGCAAAAATAATGCAACATGAATTTGCATCAATGGAGATAAATTATGCTCATTCGATGTTTGCTTTAGTTTTTGTGTCTTTTTCTATATCTCTTCTCTAATTGTTACCATGCAAAACAATCAGATGCTTAGTATTTATCAAAAGCCAAGAGAATGTCATGTGACTTTTTTATGCTGCTGCTCAAATAAGATTAGATGCAAAATATATGCAACAAAAGATGCGTAAGGCGACTTAACCCTTGTACACTCTATATAGACTTTTAGACAAACAAGAACCTGTTTATCTCATTAAGAACTAAAAGGTTTATGAAATCTAAAACTTAATGGTTTATTTTCCAAGTTCCATCCTTGTTGCTGTCTGTACTGTTTTTATCGTTTACTGCAGGATAACCAGAGCCAAATAAACAACTTTGCTCCAAATAAGATCAACAGGAGCATAACTTGGGGAAAGGTTGCTGAAGCATTTAACACATAAGAGGTGTGGCTTTTAAAATAGCAAAATTATAATATGCCAATATATGAAAACTGACTGATTCCAAAAAAAAAAAAAAAAAAAAACTTATTGATTAACTACACTAACAATATTCAATTTTCTTTGAACTACAGTGGAATAATAACTACTGTTTCTTTCCAGTCTTAAGAGCACAAACTTGCTTTATCATGCACTCACAGATGTATAATCAATAACAAAAACAACTGAACAAGAAAAGGAGAAAACAAGCAATGCAGTATGAGGTTCACTTACCATAATATCACATGCACCAAGAAAAGCGTTATAAGGATATGGATAGGGGCATTCACAAACTTGATCCAGCAGACCCTCAGCTAAGTCAAGTTCTAATGCTTTACTACATTGTACTGTTATAGTTGCAAGAGTTGAAGCACGAGGCTTCACATTTCTCTCTTTCATTACTTCTAACTGCAGAGAATTAAGTGCAAATGGAAAATTTATTGGTACAAGGGGAAAAGAAACATCACTAAACATAATTAGTTTATGCAATTAAAAAAATTACAATCTACCATTTTCATGCCAACACTAAATCCTCTTGTTGGAACAACAGCTCTCACAAAGCCATCATATGCATGGCTTGATGGCTGCAATCCAAGATTTTGCATCTAGAAAAACATAAAGATCAATGAAGAAAATATCAAAATGATGTAGCAGAATGATTTTACTATTAAGAGAGATAAATAAGAGCACAAAAGTTTCCTCAAGTTACTTTTGATATGAAATTTATCTCCCCATAAGAGAATTTCAGAATGAAAGTCTTTACCCTAGAATTATAGTCTTCAAATCAGATACTATGACTATTGCACAGAAAAACCAGAAGTTCAGGGTAGAAAAAAAGTTGTCCTACCAGCACCATCAATTCTTCTGCTAGTCCATAATCTCCAGCTTGTGCACAAGCAAGTAGTACATCACTGAAAGACCACCTCAGGACTTTCATAACAGGCAAGCTCTTATAATTATTCAGCATACCAACCGTAGCACTCACAGACTGCCATTTCTCTATGTTGGAGGCATCAGTGCCAAATTTCAAATCAAGAGACAGCTCATTCTCTCCCAATTTCACTTGTTGTGAACCTAATTCACCTTTGGATGGTATGGGGATGTCTAATCTTGAAGAATACCTTCCTTGATGAGTCCTACTAACAAAAAGCTTCCCACTAACGGCTAAAGCCACCATATGTTGCAATGTTTCACATGCAGATTTTAAATCCTTCAATCTTGTAAAGGACCAGATAAACTTTTGAAGAAAATTATATTTAGACTGTAGTTTTTGGTATAGTCCTTCCAAATTTCATGGACTGCAGATAGATTTTGCCACCAAACTGCAAGCTGAAAGAATAAAGGATAAGAAAATGACAGAAACAACCAGAGAAGATTACCAATTTGATGAATTTGTCTATCAAAATGGCAATACAACAAATAGATGAATGATAAAACAAACTTTAAGATAACTAACCATTTATTTTAATGTTATTGTTTTCGTAGTGGCAAGCAGTGAATGGGAAAAGACGAAACTTGTAATATAAACCTACTATAAGAAAAATCAAGATCAACACTGTTTTTACACACCTCGAGAAGCACAGAATAGGTAATTTCATTTTTCCCGACCTTTCGACGCTCCATCAAATCTAAACATTGATTGGCAGGAATTACACTTTGCATTTTAGCACAGGCTCCTAGAAAGCAGTTATATACTGCAAGATGAGGATAAATGCCACGATTCTCGCCAAGAAGTTTAATCAAATTGCATGCCTGATGGAAATACAACATCAAGAAATGAGAAAACTTGTGATAGAAATTGAGGAAGAGGAAATGCACAAGCATCAGTCTACCAACATTTTAATGTGATCTGTGACAACGATAATAACATTAATGATTAGAAAATGCACCTAACCATGCAGCAATAACAAAAAGATAGTTCACAATCACATGAGAAAAAGGGTTAAGTCAAATGACTCAACACCCAATGATACACTGAGGTAATACATTTTGAAAAATCAGTGCTTAATAATTTAAAAAACACATCTCACTAACACTAGTCTATATAATGTATACCTCGTCCAAGTAACCTCCTTTACAGAGAGCTCGCACCATAAGCAAACAGCTTTTGTTATTCAAGCCAATCTCCTTTTCCTCCATCAATCTCCATGTTTCCATAACAAACTGTACAGGAAATAGAAAAATGCCAACTGTTACTGCCAAGTATAACTTTTCATAGTTTTTTTTTTTTTCTTCTTCCTTTTCCAGTTTGTCAACTGTGATTCATATTCACATTATCCGTGTCCAAAAGCAGCTTACCAAAGGATCAGGTGACCTTGCACAGTAGTTAAGAATGTAAACGAAATCAGCAGCATTTAATGACTGGTGTCCATTACCAAGATCTACAAGCAGGCTAGAAGCTCGGCTTCTCTCACCCGAGCGAAGCGCATTAACAATTTGAATTTGCAAGGACTTTGTTATTGACTCTTCTCCATATCCCAAAAACACACGACCTGCATTCAAAAACTTACTCTTTAACTTTTATTCAAAAAACATATATAAATCTATAAACGCCGCTCATATCAATTCCTTCAGTTCAATAAACAAAGATTTAAAAGGAATTGAAGAGTTAGTTGTAACGAACCATTCATATTTGCAAGAGTTCTACATATCCCCAATCTTCCGATCACATTTCTTCGCCCCTGAAACAGCATTAATTAAAAACAAAACTTCCAGAATTTAGAATAAAAAAGAACATATTGGCAAATAGAAACATCTGATTCTTCAAAGAAAATAAAAGACGTACATGTTCTCGTGATTTCGATTTACATAAGGTGTCTGCGATTGAGCGCAAAGGAGTCCTCACTCTATTCATTCCTTTTCAGTTACTTCGTTGGATGAAGAATTCAGCTTTACAATCGGGTTTTTCCTTCAGGGTTTAAGCATTTTGACGAAAAATGAGCTATTTACTCCAAAAAGTTTTCGAAAAATTAGTAATATTCGATTAAGCAGTAAAAATAATTACCCGCGTTCAATCGAACCTCATCAATCGCTCCTTCTACTACTTTCGAACCTACGTACCGAGTACCAATTTTGCTAAATTGCATTTGCAGTCAAGGTTACACGCGCGCACTCAGCGGATCTTAACCCCAGCGCCCGATGTAGGTCCGGTCGGCGTTGAGTAAAGATTGGGCCCAATAGACCTCAAGAAGAAAGCGAGTAACAATGTAGTCCAGGTCTAGGGCCCGAAACCTTCTGACCTTGGCCCAAACGAGACCAAAGACTTACGATTAAAACCGATTCAATTTCGGAAAGGTTAAAAAAATCGAAAATAGATTTGACATTATAGTATTTGTTTTGATTTGGATTTATTTTTTATTGATTTAAATTAAATTTGAATATTAAATATATATTATATTTAGATCAAATTCTTATCACAAAGTGAAAAACAAAAAAAATTAAATCAAATTATATAAAATTTGTAAATTATATATATATTAAATTTTTATAAAATAAAAATAATTATTTATCTAAATCTATTTAAATATATTAAAAATCATATTAAAATAATATAAAATTTAAAAATCAATGAATCAAACCTAATTAAACTAATAAAATTCAATTTAAATTGAATCATATGAAAATTCAATTCAAATTTGAATTAAATTTTAAAAATTTATAATTTTATACATTATAGAAAAAAAATAACTAAATGGATTCAATTCAAACCATTGTCACCCAACATTTAGATCTTCAACTGAAATAAAATACTATAAACAAGAAATGATGATGGAATGGAAAGAAGCACGGGTGACCTTGGATGAAAAAGACATGGCAATACTACAAATTAACAAGGAGATTCTCTCATTCTTTCCTCAGGATTAAGCTTATTCTTGTTTGTCCTGGTGGTGATTTTAGGTTTTAAATTCAGCTAGAACGGGCCTTCTTTTTCATAGGCACATGAGAGAACAAAATTTTAATCTAGATTCAAGTATAAGTCCGTAGGGGAACTTAACATAGGAAACTCCCTTGCGTCCTCTAAGAAGCTTTTAACTGCAGTGCATCATTAAAGGGTCAGATTCAGGGACTTCTTCGAGGAAGCTCAAAATAAAATGATTACTGCTCTCTTTTCTCTCTGACTCCATGAAATCTATTAAAATCTTATTAACCAGCGCAAGAGAAGGGAATTGTGATACTCATCTTTCTCGTAATTCATACCTGAACATGCTGGTTTAGTAGATGCAGGCAGTCATATTACTTGGAAAGGGAATAATGCAAATAATGGGATGAATTTTTCAATGTAAGAGAAGATCCAATGAGATTCCTTGCCATAGATAAAAACAGGGCAAATTTTGTTCCTACACTTAACACTTGTATAATAAAATCTGATTTAAGTGTATGTATCACTGTCTCCAGCTTGCATTCGGGCTAAAGGAAAAAGATGCAACTAAATCTAGACAGGCAGGAAAGTCTGCAGCTTATTAATTGCATTCAAAGTGCCATGACCATGTCAAATTTTTTTATCCAAAAATGCAGAAACAAGAAAAAGGGAAAGGTATTAAGTTCAGGATCTGGGTTAAAGAGAATATAAGGGAGGCATTGGAAGCTATATGCCTAAATCACTTAAAGGAGATCTCAGGAGTAATGGCAGCCAAAAAATTGAAAAAAATATACGTCAATCGAGTTTTGTTCTTTCTTGAAATCAAGGTACTAGGAGATTATATATAACACTTATCATGCAGACAAAGATATAGAGATAAGTTTTGTCTTAAAACTTACTAGAGAAAATGGTTATGGAGGTCGAAATAGTTTCCAAAGAATTTATCAAACCAACTTCTCCGACACTCCATCATCTTAGAACTCACAGGCTTTCCTTCTTGGATCAGTTCATTCCTTCAATTTATGTTCATATGGTCTTACTCTATATGAACCAAGAAACGAGCATTCCCCTAACTGATATTATTGCCTCCAACTTCAAGAGATCACAACTGCTAAAGCAATCTCTATCAGAAACCTTAACTCTCTTTTATCCATTCGCTGGAAGGATCAAAGACAGTCTTTCCATCGATTGTAACGATGAGGGAGCTTACTATGTAGAGGCTCGAGTTAACCGTCTTCTTAATGAATTTCTCAACCCCCCTGATCCGTCTTTTATCCGTGAATTCCTTCCTGCTGAGGCTAGTTGGACTGCAACGAGTGAAAGAGGTTATGTATCCATGATACAAGTTACCACCTTTGCTTGCGGTAGCGTTGTTATTGGTGCAGTTCTCTCCCACATGATCGCCGATGGGCCTGCAGCTACAACGTTTCTCAGAAGTTGGGCGGCAATGACTCGCAAATCTGGTGAAGAAGCTGTACGTCCAAATTTTGATGCCTCTTTTGTCTTCGTACAGAGTGAGGCATATCCCAAAGAAGCAACTGCTTTAGCTCTGCTTAGCCCATTTCTCAAAAGAGGAGTATGTTGTTCGAGGAGAATTGTTTTTGATGCCTTAGCAATAGCTTCACTGAAGGCCAAAACAGCTAGTCCAAGTGTACCAGATCCAACACGAGTTGAGGCCGTCTCAGCCCTCCTCTGCAAGTGTATCATGGCTACTTCCAAAGCAAAATCCGGTTTCCAGAAGCCAACACTCATAAACCATGCATTGAATCTTCGTCAGAGGGGCAGTGCCACCATTCCCAAAATATTCAATGGGTAATTTCCTGTGCATGGTGGCTGCACTAGTGAAAGGTCAAGAAACAGAGTTGGATGGCTTGGTTTGCCATCTAAGGAAAGCAATAAGAAAAGCCGATGGCAATTTTGTCAAGAGTCTTCAAGGTGAGGGAGGATTGCTTAAATTTTGCGAGTGCATAAAGGAGACAGGTAAGGCATCGGCTGGTGCAGCTGGTGAGATTGATTTTATTGGGTTCAGTAGTTGGTGCAACTTTGGTCTTTATGAGATTGATTTTGGCCAGGGAAAGCCTACGTAGGTTACTTGCACCGCTTCCAACAAAGTGGAAACTGTGTTCATGAATACGATAATTCTCATGGATACAAAATGGGTGATGGAATTGAAGCGTAGGTGTACCTGGACGAGCAGGACATGGCCATGTTAGAGCAAAGCGAAGAGCTCCTTGCATTTGGGTCCTTGGAACAGAGTACATTGAAAGTGGGTTACTCTGTTTGAGATTATTTACAAAAGGAGCAGCCAATAAAGAATTCTCATTTCCTCTCGGGGAATTTGATCTTCAGTTTATTTAAAAAGTTCCGATTAAAGCATCAGCTCATGCATAAAATACTTACTATGATGATGATTGAGACAAACAAAATCTTTCAAGTAAATAAAAATCAAGCTTTTCTTTTCCCCCTCGTTTTTGTATGAATATATATACTTTCAACTGTCCCACACACCAAACGGAGGAAGGAGAAGATAGCTGGGTAAAAATGGACCGTTCCCCCAACCGCACGTCAGTTATCAACAGCAAACATGAAATTGGAATTGACATTCTGAACCGGTGCTTCATTCCCAACACGAGCAAGCATGTCTCCTATTCTTTAGAAATCAGAAGCTCCTGACCAAGCATTAAGAACAGAGAACCGGTGTTCCGTCCACTTTGGATATGCACGCTTGTACAAACTCATGCAAACAGTGTAATGTTGCTGAAGGCCCCGTTAAATATGTATTTCATTGCTCCTGATAAAAAATGGAACAATCAGTACTCAGCTTTTTCCTTAAAGACTCTTGCATTTTAATATATTCCAAGCAAAAAATAAAAATGACCAGTGCATTATGATTAGTCAATACATAACACAACATGATGGCCAAAAATAATACATAACACATTCAATTCCTATTAGTATATCAAAAGTGCCCCTCAAAAGCCAAGGCATTTATGATAGCATAACAAAATGTGAAAATCCCCAGAGGTAGATACCTTATTTTTACAAATATTAAACATCCTATCTCCATGGAACCTCAAAGCATTATGCATAACTATTTTCCTCTCTCCCCACTCTTCCCTTCTCTCCAGAAAAAAGGGTTTAAAAGAAAATGTTAATAGCGGATAAGATTGGCCTAAACCCCCTCCCCTAGAAAGAAAAAAAGAATTCACTTTCCCTTAAAATGCATTAGATGGTTCCACATATAAAGATGGACAAATAACATTTATATATTTGATAGGAATCACGTACCATGTGTACCAACAGGTTCCTTAATTTGACCATGGTGACCACACTTCATCCATGCTTCCACAGGCTGCAACCGCATCCAAATTAGGAATTTCAATGATAATTTATGTAATGCCAATTCTTCCACAGGCATTACGCTACTGGAACAAAATATTTTACATCACTTGTAAAGATTATCCTACCTTAAACCATCTCACATGCTACGGGTTATGGAACATATATTGTACTGTGGCTTTTAACTTGGATTAACGTTGAGGGTAACTGCATCAAGATATAATCCAAATTAACAAAATCCAAACTACTACAATAGTTCCTACACTTGATAGGTAGTATTTCTCAAGCCTGAAATTCTAGGTATATAATTCAACAGATATTTGCATTAAAAACTAACCAGTAGAATCCTACAAGATCATAACAACTTTAATTAAATTTTAACCCCGAAAAGAATGAATCCATACCCAGTTAAAATAATCTTCTTCAGAATTATTCTATCCGGATCAATTCTTCTCAAGGAACCAACAGCAGCAACTGTAGGTTTGCTGGCTCCTCCTGCACCCTTCAGAACTATCAAAGGGAGAGGTGGAAAACAAATAGGAGCATATATTGAAGCTACTGAAAAACGCCCTGCATGAAGAAATCTTTCCATCTTGTGCTTCTCTGAATTGATATTGTCAGTTGAAAATATAGGTCTGAAATAACTAAAGAGAGACTGCAGAATTTTAGTAAAAAGTCCAAGGCAGTCGTAAGATGTAAAGAGATCATTACCTAGCAACAAACTGGCAGAAACCAACATCAAATATGAATTCTTCTTTAGCTTTAATAGGAGCATTATAACTATCATGCTTCTTTATACTGCAAATAATTTCATAAGTATTAAAAAAGAAAATTAAATATGGGTAAATTGCTATTACTCATAACCAGGGAAATGTAAACAGGAATATGTTATGAAAGAAGATACCTAAAATGGACAGACATCTTAGACTCATGCTGCAGAAGACCACATGATATAATGGGTGCTGTCCTCGAGATTACACATAATTTTGAAGAAACATTAAGAGGTACCTCCTTGATATAATGCCTGACATATGAACCAGCCGGTGCATAGTCGTCCCTGCTCCCTTGCTCCATTTCTAAGGACTTTGCAATAACATGCTTCTCTGTTCTGGCAAAGTTATCAAATGCAAAAATTCTGGCATATTCTGGAGGTAGAGATTCCTAATAATCACCAGGTGAACTTTTAATAACACTTATAACATTAACACACAATATAGCTTATTAGAATGGTATCATAATAAGATTACTTTGGGGTCCCACAAGGATGTCCTAAAGGACTTGACGCCTCTATACTTAGCAAATCGCTTTCTAGCAGGAACATCTAGCGGAGTATCCACTTCATCAGGAAATTCTGAAATTAACAATCAATCAACAGTGTATTAGAATCTAGATGACAAGAGATGCTTAGACATGGCTGTGACGATTTAAATAGAGTTGAAGAGAAAATGCATATGCATGTGCATTTGTGTAGTGTAGAGGGATAGCTGCGCTGTCTCATTATCACAATTTGATAACTACCAACTGATTATCAAGCGTAAGCCCTGTCACTTGTACTAGACTTTGAAGACTAAAATAGTGGCTTCAATTTCAGTGCAGCAAAGGCCTTGAGAGGATCAAAATTTGGTAGTCTGCAATTCCTTTTAACATGTAGATTGTCCCAATTTTAAACAAAAAGTTGACAATAAATGATCAGTGATGCCCTACACAAAACTCTACTACTAGTCCAGAAAACACAAATACCCTCATCTTCAGCATGTGCCCCTTTTACCTTTTTAATCTCATCCTCTATCTGTTCCCTTGTCAAATTCTCCCCTTCCTGCATGCAGAAAAGCAAAAATATTCACATACTCAATATTTAAGGGAAAAAGATATAATATCATGCATGCCGCAAGGAGATATGCAAGAACATATAGCTGGCACTTCCTTGGAATTAGTTATGTAAAAATTGCATCAGAACAGATGCATCAAAGAGATGAACCATCATCACTGAATCATTTTCAGTTTCTTCACAGAGTCCCTTAAGTAGAAAGAAGCTTGATCTTCATCAAAGTCCAGATTATTAGTGCCTTCCTGACTAGGAAAGCCACTATCTCCTTCATCTAATACCATGCCGTCATTGTCCTCACCATCATCCTCTACATCTGCATCATCTATGATCCAAGCACCCTGCAAGGCAGTCAGTGAATTCAACACAACTAGATCATTATCCATAAATATATGGTAAATAAAAACAGAAAGGGTGACAGCAGATGTTATAGAGTCCCAAAAAAGGCAAGAAAATTCAGACCTGATACTCAGAAGTGGCTAGAGGGAGGGCTCTCTTTCTCAGCTTCTTTTGCTTTTGATTTCTATCAGCCTCAGCCATTTCTGCCTCTGTGGGCCATGTCTGTCAGAATGAAACAACAATATAAATGGCACTCAACATCCCCAACCTCCAATAGATGTATTTATATGTGTGTACATATGAAGTAATTTAACTAATTTAATAAAACCTCAATTAAAAGCTAGCTAAACTGATAGAAACATAGTTTGAAGGTCGGATTGGGGGAAAGTGGCAACTTAATCATCTTATCAAAGGCACACCTCTAATATGGAACCAAAAGTATGAAAATATAACCATTGGTTGTTCTGATGTCTCAATGCAATTTAATTATACTCATCTATTAAGCATATTCAGTAATTTTATAACACAATATCTTTTTAAATCTTTATAAAAGGTTTGTTGCATGAAGATTAGTATTACTCCAAAAAGTACTCAATATTAGGAGTAATACTAATCTTCATGCAACAAACCTTTTATAAAGATTTAAAAAGATATTGTGTTATACATGACAATAGATCCCCATGAGGAGCTTGCAGTACCTAGAAATAATAACTTAAAATTTAGAGATTTGCAAATTTTTGCACTTCATATTATGGATTAAAAGCTATACATTTCAACAATAACATTACATCAAACTTCTAAGATTGATAAACAGACATCCATATTGGATAATGATAAATTAAGGAAAAGCAATGCCTGAAACCCTCTTAACATGTAGCAGCTATCTGTAACTAATAACATGAAAAAGGGGTAAAGATGCACACCATTGCTCGCAATTTGTACTCAGAAGAAGCAACCGTTGATGGCAAAGCTCTGGTGCCTTCTGGTGATAGCAATCTCGAAAAGTCTTCAGCAAGTGAATTAACATTCACAGATGCTGAAAGCGGAAAAGAAGCTGCCGTGAAAGAAATCACAAGGATGAAAAAAGCTAACTCAAAGAATCAATATGGGAAGAATTAATTCGTATAAAATGCTTACAATGACACGCGGAGGACTGGCGGATCCACTTGAAGCCCTTTTCCCTTTCAAAAGAGCTACCCTCTTCTGCTCTCGTAGCTGCAAAACCAAATAGAAATTGCCAATGTTAGATACTGGCGACATTATATAAAATTGAGCAATTAAGCATGAGAAATATTCGAATTTATTATCAGTCACCATCTTGCTTCGCTGAAGCCGAGCAGCTGGGGCTCCCTTTGATACATTTTGGCCTGATTTTGCCATCCGATTCTTATCTAAATCACCAAAAGAGTCCAAGAAGTGCAAAGTAGAAAAACGTAGTTACAAGCAAATAAATAAATAAACTATTAAAATTTTGAATCATTGAAGTGGAATAGATCGGAGGACATTTTTGAGAGACTTTGTGAATGTTCCTAGAAGACCTGGAGAAGAAACGGGTCTTGTGAGGCTTATTGACTTGAACTCGAGATCCTCTCATGGCGAACTGCACCTTAGAAACCCTAGAGTGACATCAAACCCAAGCCCCCGAGTTTAAAAAAAAAAAAAAAAAAAACCTAAAACGGGCGCTTAGCAGAGTCAAAAAGCGGGCGGCAAGGGTTTTTGGTTGAATTGCTTTTCTTTATTACTTGTTTGGTTAGGCTTATTTCTTATATGGCGTTGCCTTTGAGCACCGCCGTGAGACGTAAACGTAAACAGCAATTGCTTAAGTTAACTATGGACACGATGGGCCGAAAACTTAAATTAAGGTTAGCCCAAAAAGAATAAACGGGTTGGATTAGCCTACATTCGTTTTCACTTGCACCGACCCATTTCTTGGTATTTTCAAATTATTTTAATTTAATAAAATTATGAAAATCATTCCAAATTAAAAAAGTTAGTAAATAATTTACCAATAAAGAACTACTCCAAATTTTTTTTTCAAATAATAAAATAATAAGAATCTTCAACTTTCCTCTTTCTTTAATAATAAATCAAATAATACATATTTATGATAGAAAGTAGTAAGTATTAAATAAAGTTGTCTTAGTTAGGCACTCAATTTTGACACTAAAACTACTTGTTTAAAATTAAATCATCTTTTTGATTCACTAAAATCTATCCTCACTTCATAACTAAATGGTGCCAATTTTGACAACAAACTTAAAAAATGAATAAAATCATGAGAGTAGACTAACACGAATTGTTTCACAATATTAACAAAGCTTATAATGTCTCATTATTTTTAATTAACTCGTTAAAGTAATTTGATCGCATATAATTTTAGTATTTGCAGATTATTTATATCCTTTTTAAAATGATGAAATTCTACCAACATTAATCAAGTTCATAAGGTGTTTTTTTATTAAATAAATAACTATATTTGATTCAATTAATAAAATGATATAGTTATTGTCAACCAAGTATTAGTTCAAAATAATATATATTTTTATTAGAATATCAAGGGTTATGAATTTAAAAGAATTTAAGAGCATAATATTTTTATGAATTAAGTAAATAAAGTTTGAAAAGATAGATTCAAAGTTTTATAAACGAAATATGTATAAGTTTTATAAAATAGCAAAATAAAGGAATCGTTTATTCAGTCTATATATTGCACATGATGTTGCCGAGTTACACATCATATGTTAAGTGATACAAACTTAGTTGCTGAATTTACGTAAAAAAAAAAAATTTTCTAAGTGTAACAATTATAAGATTAAGGATATACATGTTATTTTATTATTTTATAAAAAGCATTATGACAAATGTTTATATAATTTTGATAATTTAACCTTCAACATATAACGTTGACAAAAATATGCATAAAACTAATGACTTGAAAAAAAACTTGAAAACGTCCATGTAACGCTTATTTTTAACCTCCTTAGAGAAGTCAATGGAGAAATAAAAATCATCCGTAGGTCGCGATACAGGAGATTTAAAAGTTGGATTTTCTTTATAATATTAAATTATTAATTAAAAAAAAAAAAAAATCTGCTTCGCCACGGTCACCACCACAAAACTAACCGGCAAGGAACCGATAAGCCAAATTCCTTCTCTCTCCCTTCTCCTAACGACGCAGAAATAAAAGAATGCTTCTGCTGCCGCCCCCAATCCCCGCTCGCTTCCCCTCTATTCAACTATCTTCTCCAATCACACGTCTTCATGTGAGCCTCCAAACATCCTTCTGTACGGCGGCCGCCGCCACTGAAACCTCTATCACGCTCTCAATTGATAAAGATAGAGATAGAGATAGAAATGACGATGAAAATGATGACCAAAACGACGCTCTTTCTCTTCACAAGCGCCGTTACGACTTCTCTCCATTACTCAACTACCTCTCCCACTCCAACTTGGAATCTGACTTGGACTTCGACTCAGCCTCACCCACTTCACTCGACCCTATCGAGTTCCAGCTGGCTGAGTCATACCGCTCGGTACCTGCTCCGCTTTGGCACTCTCTCTTGAAATCTTTATGTTCCTCTTCTTCGTCGTCCTCTTCCGCTTCTATCAATTTAGCGTACGCAGTCGTTTCATGGCTTCAAAGACACAACCTTTGTTTCTCCTACGAGCTTCTCTACTCAATTTTAATCCACGCCCTTGGCCGCTCCGAGAAGCTATATGAAGCGTTTTTACTCTCTCAGAGGCAGACCCTTACTCCCTTAACATACAACGCTTTAATCAACGCGTGCGTCCGCAACAACGATCTCGAAAAGGCTCTTAATCTTATGTCCAGAATGCGTCAAGATGGTTACCATTCAGATTTCGTGAATTACAGCTTGATAATTCAGTCGCTTACTAGAAACAACAAGATTGATTCATCTGTTTTGGAGAAGCTTTATGGGGAAATTGAGTGTGATAAAATTGAGGTCGATAGGCTGCTTTTGAACGATATAATCGTTGGCTTCGCTAGAGCGAATGATCCAAGCCGGGCTCTACAGTTTTTAGCTAGGGCGCAAGCAATTGGGTTGAGCCCGAAAGCGGCTACTCTTGTGGCGATTATATATTCGTTAGGTTGTTGTGGGAGGATTGCGGAGGCTGAAGCTGTTTTTGAGGAAATGAAGGGAAGTGGATTGAAGCCTAGAACCAGAGCTTACAATGCGCTTCTTAAAGGGTATGTGAAAGCGGGTTCTTTGAAAGATGCAGAGTTAGTTGTATCCGAGATGGAGAGAAGTGGGGTTTCACCTGATGAACATACTTATAGTCTTTTAATTGATGCTTATGCGAATGCCGGCAGATGGGAGAGCGCTAGAATAGTATTGAAAGAGATGGAAGCCAATAATGTGCAGCCGAATTCTTTTGTTTATAGTAGGATTTTAGCTGGTTATCGAAACAAAGGAGAATGGCAAAGATCATTTCAGGTTTTGAGGGAAATGAAGAGTAATGGGATACAACCAGATAGGCATTTTTATAATGTGATGATTGATACTTTTGGGAAGCATAACTGTCTTGATCATGCCATGGATACGTTTGATAGGATGTTATCAGAGGGGATTGAACCAGATACTGTTACTTGGAATACGCTTATAGATTGCCATTGCAAAGCAGGGCGGCATGACAGAGCGGAGGAATTGTTTGAGGAAATGAAGGAAAAAGGGTATTCACCATGTACTACTACGTATAATATTATTATAAATTCATTTGGAGAACAAGGGAGATGGGACGATGTGAAGAGCTTGTTGGGGAAGATGCAGGGTCAAAGTTTGTTGCCTAATATTGTGACATATACCACACTTGTAGATATTTATGGAAAGTCTGGGAGGTTTAGTGATGCCATTGATTGCTTGGAGCTTATGAAGTCTGCAGGGTTAAAACCTTCCTCAACCATGTATAATGCCTTAATAAATGCCTATGCACAAAAGGTAAGTTATCCTATCATTGTTTCAGTTCTCATTCAACTCTCATGTTAGGCTAGTGTTTCCTACTTAACTCTGACTCATTCACTGCTGTGATATGCTTTCTTTAATCAACTTGATGGCTGTACGGTTACTTGTTGCTGTCTTTTTTGTAAAATTTGACACAGCCGTACTAGATGGGATTTTTCTTCATTATGGCAGCTATAGCCTATACCATTATAGATCGAAACACATGTTGGTATATATTCTCCACCATTGGGAGGCTCAGTTATCCGTGTCACTCATAAAGCCTTTATGAGTTGGTGACTTCATAGTATATGGATTTGTTAACAATTTTGATCCTCGTCAATATGGTCTGTATCTTGAGAATTCTCTTTCATGGTTCCTTTTTTGGAAATTGTTGGGCAAAGCATACGAAATGTCTTTTGGCAAGTGAGTCAAAATCTTAGGCAGGGCTTATTTGGATCTATGTTGTTGCAATGAACAAAACGTACCAGTCTAATGATCTGCTTGGCACAAAGACTGCATTTTCTATTAGTCTGTCAGTTTGTTGTTCTACTTAAAGTTAGAGGTTTAGATACATCTAGCACTATTGGGATGAGATGTTTCGAGCATAACTTTATTATCCTTCTGTGCCCTTAAACAGGGTTTATCTGAGCAAGCAATAAATGCATTAAGGGTTATGAGAGCAGATGGCTTAAAGGCTAATCTCTTGGCTCTCAATTCACTAATAAATGCTTTTGGTGAGGATAGAAGGGATGTTGAGGCCTTTGCTGTATTGCAATACATGAAGGAAAACGTGAGTACCCTTTTACCTTTGTATGCCTGCCTTGAAACTATTATTTCTATTCTTTTAAGTGATACTTGTGACATTGTTATTTGATTCAACTTATATACAGGATGTGAAACCAGATGTAGTTACATATACCACACTTATGAAAGCTCTTATCCGTGTTGACAAGTATCATAAGGTATTAATTAATGTGTCCTTTCTGCTATGAGAATGAGATATTAGCCTTCTTTGATTTCTTGTATTGCAAATAATATTTTATCCGCCTTTTTGAATGCATGGCCATGTGGATTAGTAGACTGCTGCCTTTGCTTTTTGTAGCTTTTGTGTTCTTTCTCTTTATATGTTGGGTCATTTAACTATAGTTATTGCAGATTTGAGTCTTGGTTGTGAAGTCACCCTCAGTAGAAAACAACCATAAACTTGCATCTTATGCTCCCACATCTGACTCTCTCCACCCCCTCCTCCTCTCTCCCCTTGCATATAGCACCATTTATTCCAGTTTACTTTTTTGTCCGGTTTAAAAGAAATGTTAAAAGACCCAATAGATCTGTGATACTGGTTCTGATAACTGCTGCTACAATATTTGTTGTTGTTGATGCAATGCATTGCACCATGTCATTTATTTATTTATACTGTAACATCCATATGGTGTTATTTAAAGATACTCTTTTTGGTTTGGATTCAGGTTCCATCTGTCTATGAAGAGATGATTTTGTCTGGTTGCACTCCTGATAGGAAAGCTAGGGCTATGTTGCGATCTGCTCTGAGATACATGAAGCAAACAGTGAGGTCATAGTTGACAATCCATAACCCTTATGACTAAAGCAATATATGATGGAAATAACTGTTGTTTGAGTTATCAATTTGAGGTTAGTAGCCATGGCCTTTCTCTGATGTATGAACATTTTGTATAATGCCATCTTGATTCTCTTAAAAGCAAGCTAGTTTTTCAAGCAGTTTTGGCTCACAAATGTCATAGGTTTAAAAGGATCGACAATTAAGTCTTTTTGAATAGAAATTGAACAGGTACTTTTAGTACATGTCATTTTATAGCAAATAACATGATAGTCTTCTGCTATATCCAGTAAATTGTTTTCCTTCACAAACTGTTTTCCAGGAATTATCAATTCATGCTGCCATGCAGGCCCATCCTCGTGTGACTCTTGGAATGAGGAAACTCCAGGAGCTGTATTCCGAACGAAGCTTGGAATGAGGAAACTTGTCATACGCTAGGACTATTATACCTAAGACATGATGAAGCCTTCCCCTCTCTTTTTTTTTTTATTTCAGGTTAGAGAACAATTTTTTCACCATTACAAAATAGAAACTGATCCGTTGCCCTGTATCTTGTATTATATTTCAGAACAATATTCAACAAAAGCAATGGCGAACGTTCTTTAACCGCTGTTCTCTCTTTCATTCCATAGAAAATAATATCTGTTGCTATGCAACTTCTGGATGCCCACAAACGCTCTCAAAATTGTCAAAAATTCAAAATCTTGCACCAGTCGCTTGTGGCTTTATTGCAAATGACTTGTTCCCACGATCGCCAAAATTTTAGATCCCCAACTTATGGTGTTCAAAAGATTGACAGTGACCCCTTTAATTGGAAAAAAATCAGTTAGTAAAAACGAAAAGATTGGAATCAGCTTTCCATTGCAGCAAATGCACAAGCATTAGCTTTTGATACACCGCAAAGAAGGATAAAAAATTATCTACATTATCTAAGAAGAATGTAATCAACTTACAAAAAAGCTCTATTATTATCACTTGTACCAAATCACAACATACCCAAAAAAATGTAACATGCAGGTCTCCCATGTAACATGTCAAAGCGGTATGGCTGAAACAATTTGTCTGCCACCCTTTGTTTTTGATATTCGAGAACAGAACATGAACAGTAACAGTACTGAGGATAACAAGAAAAGTCTGAAATATGTTCTTATTTCCTGCATTCCAACCTCAAGCACCTCCATCTTCTTCCCATATCTATTTCTCCTTCCCATTAAGTAACCATCAAGATATTCATCTATGGATACCCATTTGTCCAAATTAGATACAGCACCCTTGGAATGGACATCAAGCTGACGTGGTCCCAGCTTAAAAATTGTGAAAAAGGCAGCAGACCAGTCATTGAGAACTCTCTGAAAACCCAAACAAAATCTTTGGTAGTTATTACTCAAAATATATCAACCACTTTGATCAACTGTAATTTCCTCTTCTAGAAAAAAATTTCAAAAAAATGTAAAAATGTGATGTTTAGAAAAACAAAATGAAAAAAAAAAAAAAAGGAACGTGAGCGATTGGCTTTAGAGGCAAGTTAACATACCTTGAAAGTGGTATGGTCAACTGGATTGAACATTTTAAAGCAGTCTTTTGTCGAGGCTGTACCATCTCCATAGATCTACCACCCAAAATGCAAGCTACGGCTATTAATGAGGTAAATTTGCTTTAAGTATTCTGTGAAAAGAGAGTTAGCATTTCAAATACCTCAAAGGTGAATGCCATGGGTACTCTTACAACATCATACATGTAGTCTGTTGCTGTCCCATGTGCCAGATACCTGAAATTAGTAGCATTCATATATTAGTGGGATGAGATTGAAATGAAAAACAAGTTAAATATATTAAAACAGAGAGCTTTCTTTTTTTACTTTTACATTTTGGTGAGGAAAACAGAAAGATATCCACTAAAACCCCTGCTTGAGACTTTAAATTTCATGCCTTTGGTTGCATATATAGTAATTCACAGAAATATAGAGTGCTCTACCATAAAAATGAAGCATTTTAAGAATAAAATAATTGTCATGAACTGTAAATTACTTGTACAGGACAGAAACATTTGACCAAAAATAGCTCACAGAGAACAACCTTAAAAGAAATGATAATAAATCTGTAAAAACGATTAGTTGCTAATGCAGAATATGTTATTGAGCAATGAGCCTATCCTTAAAGTTCTTGGAGTACTATAAGTATTTATTATATAATTAAACATAACTAGCATGGTGCCATCACAAACCACCATTGCTACGAGTATAAGAATACAAACCCAACAGAACCTCCACCAGAACCAATCATGCAATGCTTGTGGCAATGAACATTATTCAGTTCTTCAAGCAACAATCTCATTTGTTGTGATGGCAATCCGTCAGGGGTTCTGTTTTTGTGGTCATATGGCATGAATAGTGCCTACATGAATTATAATCAAAACCAAGAAGTAGGTCATACAGACAGCATATCAGACCTATCCCTAAGAGAAAAGAAAAGGAACAAAACGCATAAAGTAAGCTTAAGCATCAGATACTAGGACAAAAATGAAACAAATATTGTAAATTAACTCTATCAAGCCCATCTATATTAAATTCAGTCCAATCAGTAAATATTTGAGCAGGATGCAATTCTTCAGCTAAAGGTACTGGTGTTTGACTTCAAACTGAACTACAAGCAACCAAAAATACTAAAACATTATAAAATACAAGAAACATATGGACACATATTGCAAACTAACCGCTAAAATTCATCTTGACAAAACAGTTCAGGTAAAAAAAGGCCTTTTAGTGCAAGTGAATATTTCCTAGAGATTTCAATGTCCAAAAAACGTACTTTAATGCTTCAATTCTTAGGAAAGAATAGCTTAAACATTGAACAATAGTTAAGGCAAAAATTGGCAAAACAAAGGAACAAGAAAGAAATATTAACATGCAATTCAGGATCACTCACCTCCATCCCAGAGTGTACATTAACCCATATGTGAGGATCAAATGATATAGCAAGTTTCCGCATGATTTGGGTTTCAGGCTCACTAAAAGCAGCGGTTCCAGGATTCTCTTCAAATGGATCATAGTCCTATAATTGAACAAAAATTTTGAATGAAAAACCTCATCATGTAAAGGAAGATAAAACTTAAACATGCAACTCTAGTAACAACTATATGAAATACGATTTGTAAATGAGAGGGGTAAGGAACCTTCTCCTTCTTTCCCCAATCCACACTCCAATTCCGGTTGAGATCAACTCCTCTCCCTGCCAAAGAAAGCCAATTTAAACATTTCAACTTCTTACCCACAAGATCATAGATATTTTATATTTATAAGATAAATTGCATTACCATTTCTCCTTTCACAAAGATCTTCTGCTTCAACAAGCTTGCGGCCATTCAAATTCTCCATTGGCACTACCTACCATATTTGAACATTATCTCTCAAGTTACTGATAATTAACGTATTATTTCTCGAGATAAATCAAGTAATCAAGGAATTTTTTTTTATTATTTTAATTAATACAACATATATATCTAGCAATCTAGTATCACATGTATGTTTGAATGGACCCTAGGACACATATTATACCAACTGAGAATCAATCTATAAGGATATTAAATAAAAAAAAAAATCTTATGCATACTTCCACCTGTGGCAAGCTTGCAATTGAAGTTTGAGAGAAACTACATTTGCATAAACACCCACTTCAATATATAGAAAGAAATTAAGATAGATTAATTCATATTGTGGGAAAACAAAAGCCAAGAATGTTCTTGCAAGTATATATAAATTACCTTTATAACTACATTATCAAGAGTGCTATTTAAGGACGCTCGGTCCATCTTGGGTAGAAACTGTTCTTCACTTAAGATTGACAAGATCCGCAATGCCAATTCAGATGTAATAAGCTCCCTCCCATGCTGCCCAAAACTCTGGAAGACAAGGAATTATCTGTCAAGAACAGCAGCAATTACCAATCTGAGATCATCTATTAACTACATATCAGATTAGAAACAAGGTTAGCAAATACAGTGATTGTATGCAAATTTAAGCATCAGATTCCCATTTGTTAAAATCTTTGATAACTAGAAAGCAAAAACATCTATTGTTCTCCCAACACTATTCACAAAATGTGATTATGCAGGAAACTTACAAGAAGGATCCGAAACTTTGACTTGTCATCACTCTCTTTCCTACTCTGGCAATATGTAACAACAGTGATCTCTGCCTCATAGCCTTTGTTTCTGGCTTGAATTGTTTCCACCTGTTTATTGCATGAATAATTATAAACCAAATGCCCACACAATACTTGTTTCCAAATATAAGAAGTTGTAGACCACCTACACTGAGTTTGTCAGGGTGTCGATGGACCAAAGACTTTATCTGCTCAATCAAATCATTACTGCAAAATAGTATAAAAGTTAATTAAAACAAGAAACCTAGATAATAAGGCCCTAAACTCCCAACTCCAATGGTAGTTTGAAACCAAAGATTGAATAAAAAAACATTCGTTTGGTAACAGAACTAGAACCTTCACATCATGTTCAGAACCTTGGTAAGTCAGAAGCTTCAACAATCTAGACTAGATTAGTTCAGTTCTCTTTTTGGTGTTCTCTAAGACTGTTACTCCTCTTTTCATGTCATTGATTCTCAAGATCTAAAAAACCAGTTAACATGAAAGTATGGCTGAAAGTTCAAAACCTGGCATTCAAATATAGTCTGGCAAATTCCACCATGCCAAATTAATCTAAAAAGGTGAGGGTATCATGTAATTCTCCGGAAACTAGTCCGGCCAAGCTTAAATTTACCATATCTGGAGAGATTTAAATTAGAGAAGGCTTTGAATCTCGGAAGATCAGCAGTCAACTTGATTAAAAGTAGACGAAGGAAGCATCAAGAGCACGTTTTGTTACAGAAATCTCCCTACTTGAAGCATGAAAAACACATTTTTATAGAAATCTCCCTACTTGAATGTACTTGGGTTTCACTTTGTTAGCTGTATTTCAAGCTTGTGTATTTCCGCAGGAACTTGCAGCAAACCAACTCTGTTTATTCTCTTTTTGTTGGGTTCAAAAGATTCATTCATCGGCCAAAATATCAAAGAAAACAAAAAATAGAATATTCTGCATATTGATTCCAGGGAAGCTAAGGAACAAAAAAAAAGGACATATGAAGCAAGTTTAAGGATTTGTCGTCAGACTACTAATGGGAAATACTAAGCTTGATCCTTGAGGCATGAATTTGATGATCCTATATTCCTATTAAATCTTACGCCACAAAAAAAAAAAAAAAGAAAAACTTTACTAATTGTTTCTTAAATTTAAAGAAATAAACGAATCCTGAGATTTTAGTAACATTAAATAATCCATTAAAGACAAAACATACCTGGAATGGTAGAGATCGCGGTTGATGGGAGTAAAAGAAGATTGGGTGAGATTAGCTTCAGCGTAAACGAGAGAAAAACTTGGGAAACAAGCAAAAAGGGAGAGAAAGAAGAGAAGAGAAGAAAGGAAGCAGCCATGGCCGACAGAATGAGATGAAAAAGAAGAAAAACACCGACGTTGATGGTACTGGGCAGCTCTCATTTCATATTTTCCAGGAAGAAAATATAAACAGGGGAAATTGTTACTTTTTGCAAAGACTGTTAATTTCAATGATGAATTGGATTGAAAGAGAAGAGAAAGAGAATGCGTGGCTTTGTCAGTTTGTCTCTCGTCTGGATTTTCCACGTTCAACGGCGTTGTTTTTCTCTATTTATTTTATTTATTTTTTTGTTGTTACTGCTAAGCCTACTACTTGGTCAGCAGAGGATGGTGGTGGAAGTTGTTCTATTCTGTGATCGGATCGGATTTTCTTCTCTCTATGGATGTCCATTGTCATTAGACATTATTTAATACCATTTACTTTGTTTAGTTGAAGATACAGTGATGGGCTGCTGCAACTATAGAGCCAATAAGTAGGCCTAGATCAAATCAAGCACGGTCGGTCCTTGATCTTTTTGGGCTGAACTTCCGTAGCTTGATAGTGGAGTTGGGGCTGTTGTCTAGGCTTCTCATAATTACCTGTTAAATTAGTTGATGCTGCTATTTGACCCTCATTTTAAGATTTTATCTTTGTTTTAATATTCTTAGTATTTCTAAATTAAAAATATGATATAAATTGGATAATTCTCACGCTTCATGCCCCACAAACATGATGGGCCACTATCACATTTAGGCTGAAAATGTCTACCGTCAAAGCTCCAAGTACTGGTAACACTTATAATTTATATTACACTCCGTATAACATTATAAAAAAATTAAACTTTGATGCATAATTTATATATTATTAATATAATTATTATATCATTGATTAATATATTTTAAATTTTAAAATATTTAAAATAAATATTTTTAAATTTTAAATATTTAATTATGTTAAAACAAATTAATGATATAATAATTTGTGATATATTGATAATTTACCAAATATAAATATAATTATAATTGCTTGGTTTTTCTTAATTTCATTGCCAGAAACTTGGTCTTTCAAAAACTGTTACCTAATAAACAAACGATGACCCAAAAAAAGATCAAGCGAGCTATTTCAAAACTGACTTGCTGATCATCAGTGGACTCGGATCAAAAATAGCCAATTTGAGGAGCTCCTCATCACGTTCAAGTATTGCCATGTCTTGTTCATCCACGGTCACCCATGCTTCAATGCCATCACCAAGTTGTGTGTCCACCAGAATGATAAGATTCACGTACACTGTATTTTCCATCCCAAAACTGCTGACCCATGCAGGTTTTCCCCACCCAAAATCAGCTTCATAAAACCCAAACTTACACCAACTGGTAAATCCAAAATGGTCTAATCCATCTTTGTAGACCAGATCAGCTATTTCTCTGAGAGTTTCAGAAATCAAATATTTCCCTTCATCCTCTCCTAGTTTCTTTATAAAATCACCATCAACTCTTGATATTGCTTCCCTCACCCGTCCTACCAAGTCAGGCAAATCCGACTTATTATCACCCTTGCTTTTTGCAGCTGCTATCCAGAGGAGATTTCCTGTAGAATTCTCCATGTTCTGCGCCATTCTTCTCCGTAGATTTACTAGGTGTGTCAATAAAGAAGGCCTCTGAAAACCATTGTTTGCTTTGGAAGCAACCATGATGCACTTCCATAAGAAAGCTGAAACAACCTCAACTCGAGTAGGGGATTGGAGGCCTGAGATGGTAGCTTGGGCCTTGAGAGCGGCTATTGATGAAGCACCGAATATAATTCTCCTAGTAATACTCTTGCCTTTCTTAAACAAAGAACCCCACATGACCAGTGATGAATCTCTAAGCCACAAATCATTTGTGGGGAAGAGAGACGTAGCAATGAAGTTGGGATATATAGCTTCCTTACATCCACGAGCTGTTGCAGTCCATGCTTTGAGGAAGGTGCTTAGGGCAGCGCCGTCAAGAATCTTATGTGAAATGCATATGCCAATAGCAATACGGCCACAGTCGAACAGGTTTACTTGAATATTGGTTACAAAAGTTCCAGCAGTTGGTTCCTTCATAAAGAAATCTCAGGGAAGGAATCGAGGTAATAACAGGAGGTCAGGCTGACTAAGAAACTCGTGGAGACGACAGTTTACTTGAGCTTCAACATAATAAGCCCCTTCATCGTTGCACTCAATGGAAAGACCATCTTTGATCCTTCCTGCGAGAGGGTAAAAGCGTGTTAAGGTGTTTGATAAAGATTTCTTTAGCAGCTCCAATCTGCTTGAAATTTCAAGATGGTTAGTGGAGTCTTCCATAGGATAAAATAGGATGATTGGAGCATATGGAGAAGGAATAAGCTGGTCGAAAAGCGAAAGCTTGAAGATTTTAAGGTGTTGAGGTATAGGAGAAGATGGTTTTATGTGTCGTGTGGAAATGATTTCGACTTCCATTTTCATTATTTTGCCTTAATCCACTTTGATGAAAGGTTAATAGGTTTCTAATTTATATATGCTAAGGTGAAATGTTTTGTTAATAGGTTTCTAATTTATATATGCTAAGGTGAAATGTTTTGTGTCAGATTAAGCACTCATTAGAAAGATTCTTCTGTTGTCGTCTACTCTAATTTTGGAATCGAGTCGAATCCTTCGATGCTAGATTCGGCTCCGTTGGAAATTGTCATATTAGGATGATCCTTTCCCATCCTTTTAAATAAAGAAACTAGAACTAGGTACAAATTTGACCCTCAACGTCCTACTCTAGATTGTAATTATGAGGTGATGATATCGATCTGTTGAAGGTCAGCTGGATATATAATACGTAATTAGTAACTTACTAAACAGAACAGTCTGATGGAACTGTAGATGACATCAAGGTTGCCGACGAGACACTAACTTGAACTCTAAAAGAAGCGCATTACTCTTACTCCTGTTACCTAATGGTGATACTAATAGAAACCCTTCGTTATCATACACTGTCACTCTCACACTATGAAGCTTTTGCTTTGAGCGCTTGCCAGTAGCTGTAGGGCAAATTTGCCGTCCGAATCTGAGTGCATTTGTATTAGTTGTGGAGATCTGTAGGGAATATGAAGAGATACATTTAACAGAAATTCAAGGAATATATATAATTTTTAAGATTAATTAATTCCTTGTTCTGAAATAACAAAGCAACTAGAATATTTTATTGAAAAGATACCTATTGATGCTTTCTTTCGACCATTTCTTGTTACAAGCACCTCTGTCCATAAAAAAGAATTATGCTTGAGAACTAAATTCCAAAATGTTCATCTTAGCATTTTCTTATATGATAACAACCTGGCCATTATCATGTGACATATTATATTTACCACGTGAAAAAACAAAGCAGAGGAGGCCCGTTTGATTATTGGATTTATTGTTGTCGTGTTGCAAGGCCTAGCAATCGAATTGGCACATGATTTTTAAAATTGGCAAACAGAGAAGGCCCTTTGATTATTGTTGTCTTGCCGCAAGTCCTAGCAATCGAATTGGCACATGATTTTTTATTTTTCTTTTGGATACAAAATTGGCAGGTGATCTTAAGAAAACTATCCATAAATTAACTGTATATCAGTGGCCAATTAGAGTTGCTACTAATTGGGGTTTACCAGCTGTACCTCTCATCCTCTGCATATAAACCCTTACCTCCTTAATTTATAAATTATAAGAGCTGATCGGAAGTATATGTGTGCTCAGTCTCAGACCACTCAAAAGTGCACCAACTGCCGAGCTTTTCTACAATAAAGAACCAGGTGAAACAACTCTACCAGAAATGTTAACAAATAGAAAGTGAAGCTAGATGGAGTACTTAAGTTATTTGAAGTCTTCTTTCTCTCGGGGGCTTTGGTTTTGAAAATAAAACAAAATGATATCGAGAACGAGTTGATAGGACACTCGATGAATTATCTGTCAGTACAATATTGTTTTTCCCCCTAAAGAAGAGGGATAAATTGATTAAGATACGCCTTTATAGTCTTTAGGACCATAAGCTACAAAGAGTTCTGCAAGAAACCGGTTTTTCCTTCTAGAATTGCATCTCATGTCCTTGCATAGTTGATCATTACAGTATATTTGTAGCAATGCACTCACGCAAGACCTTCTATAGCTCTCTTTCGCATCACTTTTCTTGCATTTTTCCCACTCCATAACATCATATTCCATCTTGCTTATTGTTGGTAGCCTGAAATTTCCAGCAAGAAAATTTGCTAACCACTTGCTTCTCATTTCAGTGGAATGCAGGATTGCAGGACTATCTGCATGTCCAAGTATGGCTAGCTGTGGAATTCGAGGATGAATGCATTCCCTGCAATAATAAACAAGTATTTAATTTCCTCAAAATACATGGTTGCCCTAGACAGTGTCATGGCCAAAAAAGGATACCTGTAGAATGGAGCAGATGACCCAGCAATACATTTCTGGAAGAAAGTTGATTTGAAAATGCTCTTCAGCTTTTCGTCGCTCTTATATCCAGTAGCAAAAATTACAATATCAGACAGAAGAGTTCTAGACTCGCCTTCTACCATTAAAACATTTTTGCAAAAGCTGAAGCCTTGTGATTTCTTTAGGAAAAGACTACCATCTTTAACTCGGTCATAGAAATTAGCAGGCAAAACTGTGAACTTACACGAAGAAATTTGTTTGAAGAATCTATCACGTGGTATCATGTTGTGTTTCTTCAATGGATACGCGCACTTGAAATAGCACTCGATCAGCGTTGAAAATATCCAGAGCTGGAATGAACATAACAAGGATTAATTGCATGATTGCTAATGATTATAATTTTCTCGAAAACTCTACTGAAGGTTTCCATTTTTTTTTGTTGGATAGCAATATATAATTAGAAACGAAATAAATTTCACTTGAAAAAAACTCGATGCAAATTTTGCTCTAAACGAGTACCAAATAGAGAAAATTACCAGAGGTGAAAGCAACGGGGCTAGGAGCCGGGAGAAGAATCCTTTACCTGGTTTGTGGATCATTTGTTGCGCCTGAAGCAATAATCACAATAATACAGAAACAATAGACAGCAATCAATAATCAAATGCGCAGGAAAAATAAAGCACACCAAGATTTACGTGAAAAACCCTCCAGTGTAGAGGGAAAAACCACGGGCCACCAGAAAAATCTTCACTATCAAATAATAGTTATACAAAGTTCTTCTCTAGCTAAAACTAGAGCTAATCAACAACTAGAGAAACAATTGGAGAAATCTCACCAAATAAGTGACTCAACAAATACACCCTGGATTTGTTCCTAGAGAGCTTCAAACCCGATCTTCACCGTTCAGAATGTATAACTCTGAATCATAAACCTCCTGACAAGGTTCCAACTCAATCGGACCACGGATCGACTTCCGTT